GGGGCACCAGCATCTGGGGGCCGGAGGTGAGGGCGACTGCCGTGAGCAAAGCTGAGCACACCCAGTGCCCTTGCATACCGCCCTAACATGCCTCTGGGAAGGGCTGCCATTCAGCCTGAACGCATGGGTGCTGCGCACGCACCTGCACAGGGCTGGAGCATGGCCACCTCAGGGAGTAACAAGGAGGTAACGGGTTCCTGAGGGCCCCGCTGACCCTCCCATGGTCCCCCTCGGACTGCCTCATGATCCCAGCACTAAAGGAACCCCCGGAATTCTGCTCCATCTTGAAGGCTTCTCTGTTCTTATTGGTCATAAATAGGGCCAGGCCGTGTTTTGGTATTTACCCAGACCTCTGTCTTGGTGGTTTTCACACAGACTGTTGAAAACATACTTTGGCAGGGGCCTAGACAAGGGGCAGGTTACCTGGGCAGCCCTGGCACCCTCTGGAGGTGGGGGGAGCTCTGGCAGACAGGAAAACCTCCGGTCAAATATGCAGCGATGGAGGTGGGCATCCAGGGAGCGGAAGTCATCATAACTGCGGAGAACCGGCCAGGAGCGGCCCTGTGGTGCAGCAGGCGGCGACAGAAGAGGACAGAGGCCTCACTGCACTGAGCTGAGGACTATGGAGGCCAAACCAGCAAGCTACCTGAGAACAGAGGTGGCCTTACCTGACAGGTCACCTGTACCCCGAACACCAGCTCGTTCTCCCCAGAGAGGGCGGGGCCTTCACGCTCTGGAGACAGCAGCAGCTGTGGAGAGACACAAAGGCCCCACAGAGGGCCTCATTTCTGGCCCAGCCTTGTTCTCTCCTGCTGAAACTGTCCAGGGATGGCTCTGGTGGTGGCACCTCCCCTCCTGGCTTCCCCTAGAATAGGACCCTGAGACAGCTGGGCCAGAGAACAGCCGCTCAGCACAGACAGCAGGAACCTACAGCTGAGTGAACGAGCAGCTCTTGGCACCTGCACCAGACCTGCAGTCCTGCTGCTGACCGCCACAGCAACAGCCTACACCTCGCCTTCCCCTTCCCCCAGGGGCAAAGCCCGCCTACCTGGATGTGGCCAAAGTCAACATTCTCATAGTGGAAGTGGGCGCAGTCCGCAAGCCGGGGAAAGGGGCCTCGAGGGGCGGAGAGCCTGGAAGATAGAGGATGCATGTTGCCAGCGGCTCCCTGAACACCTGCACCTCCCTCACCCGCAGCCTGCCATCCCTCCCTCACTGCTCACCTCTTCCCTGGCTTCCCCTTTCCACTGGGCCCCCCAGGCGCTGGCAGGGGCTGCACAGAGCCCTCGCCTGGACCATCCAGGCTGTCAGTGCTGCGAGCCTGTAGAGAAGAAAGACAAGACTCAGGGGTTTCCAGCGATGGGACCAAAGGGACAACAGGAGCACTGTCATGGCCAGCTGGGGTCTAGAGGCTGGGCTGTCCCTCAATGCTGTCCTGGGCAGGGCAAGGTCGGAGAGGCGAGGGCTGAGCCTGGGACAAGCCTGGTCTTCGTGTGTGGTTGGCAGTGGAGCCTGAAGCCACAGGGACTGTAAGCAAGCCTGACAACAGGACAGAGCATGCCATCCTATGGCTCCTGTTTAAAACCTGTCCGAGGCCCGCTGAATTGAGTCACCTACTGCCACGGCCACATTGTCATGGCTCAGAGCTCATCCCTCTTGCTTCTTCACAGGTACCTGGCGGTCATTTTCACAACACACAGACTTGGCCCCGTCTCTGCAGTTTCTGGACCTGCGCTGGTTCCTTGTTGCCCTGGAGCTAAGTCTGCCTTCTCTGGTCCAATATTCAAATCCTCCCTCAGCTGGCTTCTGTCCACCTGCCTGTCCCATCCCATCTCTTCCCACCACCCCTCTGAGCCCAACCACAGTACCAATTCCCCAATTCCATGCAGACCTACACGAAGGCTGTGCTCTGAGCTCTCCTCAGCCTCTCCCGAGGTTCCCACCACCTCATCCCTTGACTGTCAGTCATGTGCCCACCCGATGGAAGTCCTCCCTGACTCTCTAGGCTGCGTTAGGCATCCCTTCTGGCCCCTTGCCATCCCCCCTAAGGTACCTCCCTCCCAAACTACGGGGACTGCCCCAGCTTGTCCCATCACAGCAGTGAGCATTCTGAGATGCCATGTCTGGCCAGTACCCCCGCCACCCACGGGACTTTGCCTTTCCCAGAAGCAGGACTCCAGCCCACCCAGCACAGAGTTGGGCACAGAGCTGGTGCTCATCTCTGGGCTCCTCTTTGTGCCCCCCACCCCATGCCTGGTGCTAGCTGAGTCACACAGCAGGGGCTGGGTGGGATCTGATGAATCCATTAACCAGCTGCCAGATGGGGATTCACCAACGTGGGTTCCAGCTTCTCCCTCCTTCACGGCCCTGCCCCCACCCCGGGAGGTCTTTCTTGGGTCTCACCCTCAGGGTGTGTCCCCCTCCAGCCCAGGAAGCTCCCCAAGGCAGGATGGGAGCTGACTCTCTCTGTGCCTGGAGCATGGGGCCTGCACAGAGGAGGATTCAGTGAGTGTCTGTGAAGCGAGGCAATGAATGGATGAATGCGCCGGGAGCAAGCAGAATGGTGGGCGGCGGAGACGATGGCAGGGAGGGGGAAGGAGGACAAGATGGAGAGGACCCACGGATCGGTGGAGTAACCCGTGCTGTTGTTGGGGTGGAGCAGGGAGAGGGGAGTGGGTAGAGGCGTTGAGGTGGGGGGCAATGGGGGTGAAGGGACCGAACGGGGCAAGGATGGCTGAGAAGAAAAGGGTCAGGTTGAGGCTGGCGCCCGTGGGGGCGGGGCTCGGGAACGAGAACGGGCTGTTGGGAGGAGGAGGAGCTGGCCCAGGGAAGGGTGAAGGTGGGGATGGGGATGCCGAGGGGACGCTGGGACCCGGACTGGTGGGGAGCCCCAGGGAGCCGCAGCAGATCCCTGCGGGGCCCCTCGGGCGGAGGCGAGCCCGTCCCGGACCAGCCCTCCCTCCCCAAGCCCCGGTCCTCGGCCGCTGTCAGCCCCATTCAGGCAGTGGCAGGGGATGCGCGCCGAGGGGGCGGGGTCGAGGTAACGGCTCGGACCCACGGCTGTGCCGGAGGACCGGGAGGCGACCGCGCGACCCAGGGCGAGGGGCGGCGCAGGCCGCGGACTCGGGCGGGGCCGGGGGCGGGGCGCGCGGGGCGGGGCGGCGCCCGGACAGACAGCCACGCGGACCGACAGACCAACGGCCGCTCGGGCCCCTCACCACCATGGTCGCGCAGCTCCCTCAGGCCCCAGCCGCTCTCGACCCCTCGTTCGTCGTCCTCCTCGCCGCCGCCGCCGCCGCCATGGCGACACAAAGGGGAGGGCGCGAGCCTCGCGCGGGTGGCTGCAGGCCCCGCCCCTAACGGCTGCCCGTGGCTCCGGCGCGCGCCCTGCACGGGCGGGGGAGCGCGGGGGTGGGGGCAGACGCGGCGCCGCTCCTCATTGGTTCCGACCTTGGCCTTAGACGAAACCCCGCCCACTTGGCGGCTCTTCATTGGCTTTGTCCTGGGACCGATCCCTGGCTCGGTCTTCCTCGGCCCCGCCCCCTGAAGTTTGACAGCGCCACGCCCATGGCTGCTTTTCATTGGCTGTCGTCTCCTCCTGGGACACACCCCCAGCTTCTTTATGCTTTGCTTCTGACACTGCCAACCCTGGAGCAATGGCCCTTCTGCTTAGTCCCTTCTCAACGACCGCTCTTCGGACCTTCCTAAATGGACTCCTGATGGACTTCCCTCCATCTCTCAGGCAGCTTTTCGACGACCTGGTCCTTCGCCCTCTAGGGTCACTCCTAACCTGAGGGCTCTCCACCTCCATCGTGATGGACCCTAGGCGCCTTGCGACTTGGTGCCACCCTACCCACCGGACATTTTCCTGTCCTTTTCCCCAAGAAAGGGTTTAACCTAACAGGGCAGGGTCAGCCCTTGATCATGCTGGAAAACCAATTTCAAATATTCCGGACCCTCACCAGAAAGGGTTCAACCTTCGTTCATTCATTCACTCTTTCATTCTGGTCATTTCATGAGCAGATCTATCGTAAGCAAAATAGGCTTTGGGCTAGCGCGGTGGCTCAATAGACTAATCTTCCATCTGCAAGTGCCAGCATCTCGTATGAGTGCCAGTTTGTGTCCCAGCTACTCCACTTTCCAAACAGCTCCCTGCTTCTGTCATAGAAAAGCAAAAAAAAAAAGGGGGGGGGATGGTTCAAGTCCTTGGGCTACTGCACCCAGGTGGGACACCTGGATGGAGTTCCAGCCCTCCTGGCTTCAGCCTATGCCAAACCTGGAGGATTTGGGGCCATTTGGGGAGTGAAACAGCACATAGAAGACTCTCTCTCTCTCTCTCTTCCTGTCCGCCTTTCCAGTCAATAAATCTTAGGCCTGGCACAATGGCCTACCTAAAGTCCTTGCGTTGCACACACCAGGATCCCATATGGATGCCAGTTCTAAACTCAGTGGCCCTGCTTCCCATTCAGCTCCCTACTTGTGGCCTGGGAAAGCAGCCAAGGATGACCCAAAACTTTAGGACCCTGCACCCACATGGGAAACCTGGAAGAAGCTCTTGGCTCCTGGCTGTCAGCAGGAAGCAAGTAAGACTTGAACAGGTGCCCAAATAAGATGCTGATGTCACAGGAAATGGCTTTACCCACTGTGCCACAATGCCAGCCCCCGACCACCAGTTTTTTTTTTAATGTGCCTATTGCTAAGAGGAAGCCACAAAGACCGTATCATATCTTGTTATTTTTATTTTGTTTGAAAGGTAGAGAGACAGAGACAGACAGAAAAAAAGCCTTCCATCTGCTGATTTACTCTCTTAAATGTCCACAACAGTTAGGGTTCGGCCAGCCCAAGGCCAGGAGCCCCGATTTCCCTCCATGTCTCCCACATGAGTGACAGGGACTAAAGCTCTTAAGCATTCGCGGCTACCTGCCAGGGCGCACACTAGCAGGAAGCTGGATTGGAAATGGAGCACCTGGATTCCAATCAGGCACTGCAATATGGGATGCAGCCATCTCAGTGGCAGTTTAGCCACTGTGCCCACACCCCTGCCCCTGGGTGGCATCTTTTCTAATAGAACTCTGGATGTAGAGCTGCCCACCTCCTCTCCATTGTGCTTGTCAAGTGGCTGGGTTTCAAGGTGATGGAATCTAGACTCTACTTCCCAACAACAAGTGTCTCCAAGAAGGTGCAGAGGTGCGGTTAGAATAGAGTTGTCCACAGTCCAGGTAGGAGGTAGCAGTAGTGCAGAAGTTGGGAGAAGGTACTGAATTCAGACGAGTCTGAAGGCAGAGGTGGCAGGACCAGTGAGCTGACTGAGTGGGAGAGAAAGGCAAGTGCTAAGGACAACCATAAGGATTTGTGGTCTCAGCAGCTAGCAGGGAGGTAAGTGGAGGTAAGTGGAGAGTGGTAGGGATCTTAGCTTAGGGCCTATGGGATTTTGAACTACCTGTTAAGACTTTTGCATGGAGACAGTGGGCAGCCCATATTACACAGGAGCCTAAGGCGAGGGGGCAGGTGGAGGGGGTCAGGTGAGGCTGGAGAACACAGCCCTGGACTTGCAGAATAGATGGGTTTTAGCGCCTAGGTGAAGGTGCCTGGGAGTGAATCGTGGAGAGGGACTTCAAAGTCAGGCTCCCGGGACAAGGCCAAGTTGACCCAGTGTAAAAACGAGAGGAAAGAGTACTTCCAACAAGGAGGGGTCAGCTGCAGTGTGCATGGCTGCTGGAACAAGCAGCAGGTGGACTGAGGACTGATGGGTGCTCAGCACCCTGACAGCTCAGTAGCTCCAAGCCCAGAGGACAGGGCCTTGAATTCCATGCGCTCCTGAGCAGATAACTGGACAAGCTTGCCTTGGGAACATCTTTTCTACAGCCCAAGGAAGAGAAAAAACCAGAAAAGATTCTGTTTCAGCTGGTCTGGAAAGAATTGAGGGCAGTACCACCTGAGGTGGTTCCCTTCAGCTAGCAAGGGTTTCGCCTTTCCAGAATCGTCCCCTTTTTCCCAGACGACCAGCAACCTGCAGACAGTGTCTCATGGGCAAGACGGAATGTATTCAACTCAGAGTCGTCGGGCCTCCAAGGAAGTCCCTTCCCTCCTCAGCCGCCTCCTTGGGGACCTGGACGGGGAGCCAGCTGGAGGGGACCAGTCTCCAGGCTCTTCCATGCAGTCCAGCAAGAGGGCCAATTGCGCATCCACTTTCCTGGAGAAAGGCCAGGGAGTAAATGCTGGGGCACATGCTGAAGACAGGAACCTGGGGCTGTGGACAGAGTTTGGGAAACGGGACTCTGCTGGAGGGGGTGACCACCCAGCGGTGGGGGAGGAGGTGTCACCTTTTCTGCTGCCGCAGCAGTGCCCTCTGAGCTCTCAGCACCTGCAGCACGGGGTCATCCTGGAACTCACTGCCATCGGAGTCTGGGGGATGAGGGGACAGAAACAGAACAAGCTCCAGGGGGTGGGCTCAGTGAGCAGAACCCTTGTGGGAGCTCCCACCGAGGAGGATGAGACAGACGCTCACCGTCAGCGGCCTCCAGGAGGCGGGTGGCCTGGGAGAGCACATCTTCTGAGGGACCACGGTCAGCAGCAGGCGAGGGCGTGGCTGTAGCTTCAAGGGTGGCAGCGCCTAAGAAGTCGGCTGGTGGCTCCTGGACAAGTGTGCGGGCCTCCTCAGCTGCAGGACATGGGACCTCAGGCTGCCGGTACCCATCTTCAGCAGGCTGCGCGGCCTTAACTTTCCCAGGCTCTGCTGTAGATCTACCTCGAGGCTTGGAGCGAGGGGGCGTGGCCTCTGCGTTAGGGGGCGTGGCCCTGGCCTGAAGGGGCCTGGCCTTGATTTTCGGAGATCTGGCCTTTGGAGGAGGCGGGCCCGCGAGGCCAGGGGACAGGTCCTCCAGGCTGTCAGGGAACAGGCGATCTGTCACCACCTGGCCTAGGGCACCCCTGAGGGGTGAGTCAGGCACCTCGCCAGTTGCTGAGACTTGGCCAGCAGCCTCCCAGCGCGGTGTTCTGCCCCTCTGAGGCTGGGGACCCGGCTCTTCAAGCAGGATGGAGCTGCCTGGCTCATCGATGGGTTGGCCCTGGGGAGCAGCTGAGGGTGTAGGAAAGGAGGTCAGGGATGCTGGGGTGGAGCCTGAAGGTGCTGGGGTGAAGGCCGAGGGCGATGGGGTGGAAGCCAGGGGAACTGGGATGGGGACTGGGGTAGCAGATGTGAGTGGTAAGGGAGGAACAAGAGACATCCAGGGACCAGACTGTGGGGCCCAGAAAAATCCTTGAGGACTGGGGGCCCAATAGACATTTGGAGAGACCCCCAGGGGAGCAGCAGGCCTCTCCAGATAGGCCTCCTGGACACCAGGCCGAGCCACACCACCACACACAGGAACATGGCTAGGCTGGGTCCTCAAGGAGCCAGGGCTCACAGCCGGGACAGAAGAAGTCTGTGAAGAGATGGGACAGAGCAGGCCCCTGAGCAGGACAGGAAGAGGGTGGGGGGTCCTCAGCCATCCCCCCACCCCCAGCTCTCCCCTCCCGTCCACTCACAGGGGTAGTGAGGGCAGGGGTCTGGGGCAGCACCCAGGGGCCATCTCCATTGCCCCCTCTCGCTTGTTCGAGCTTTCTCCGCTGCCGCCACTGGTACAAAATGTCATCCTCTGGGCGCAGGGGGGCCTGGGAGGAGGGGGCAGCGGGGGCGGGGGTGGGAGGGGCTGCTGGGGAGACAGAAGGGAGAGCGTGAGGCAGTGACACAAGGACAGCAGGGCACCAAAGCCTCCCCTGAGCCGGAACTGCTCCCCCAGGCCATCTCCATCATGTCCCAGCTCCTCTGCAGGGGTGGGGGAGGGAAGGGGCACGGTGACCCCTGCACTACCCGGTCACACACTCCTCAACCCCCGCTGTTCTTCAAGAAGGGAGCTGTGACCACGGCCCAGGCACTGTCCTGGGCATCAAGGGCACCCAGTGAACCCAGGTCTGTAGGACCTGCCAATTCTTTCCCCCTCCCTAACCATCCCACTCACCCCCCGCCCCACCCCACGCAGTCTCCTCTCTGCTCACCCTGCTCTGCACCTCTACACAACAGCCAGCAAAGCCTGGGAGGGCCCTTCTGGGTACAAACCCTCCCGTCCCGTCCCCGGCCATGTGACACGGGGTGCGAGGCTCCAGCTCCTCTCTGCTTGATACTTCTCCCTCATGCATTGTGGGGGGCCCCACCCCTCGGGGTCCTTCAGATCTCAGCCCCAAAGGCAACAGCAGCACCCCTAGCCTTCCCATCCTCCTCCACCCTTTCCGTACCTCCCAAGATGCACCCCTCCCTATATCCTGAATGTGTGCTCCGTGTCATGCCTGCTATCTGCCTCCCAACCACAAGACCAGTCAGGCAAACAGTGCCTTCTCTCTCTTCTCCAGGACCACAGAGAACGGTGCCCCATGCAGGCTGCGTCTGTAGTCCAGCCCTGGGAGCAAGGCACTGACCCGGTGAGGCGCACCCAGAGGTGACATCCAATCTCATAGCACCCTCCTGTCAGCCACGATGGGTGCTGCACAGACAAGGGGGTCATCACCCCACGATCTCTCCCTTCCCACCCCCTCCTGCAGCCTGCGGCTCTACTTCCGGGCCTGCCTGCTTCTTCCCTCTACTTGGCCCGAACCTCGCATCTCTCGCTGTCCCCTCCTCGCTCAGAACTCTGCCAAGTCTCCTGCTGACAAGAACTTAACCACCAGATGCCTTGCAACACCTGCACAACCCAGTGTCATCTGGGTGTCATCAGTGTCTGCCATGCTGCTCCAATTCCTGGTCCATTGCAGGTGCCATGCTTCCTGCCTCTGCCCCCAACCCTTGGGGTCCACTGCAATTGCTGCGAGGCTCTCATCACACCCATGCATCCTTCAGCTCTCTGTTTCAACAGTGCCTCCTCCAGCAAGACCCATGGCTTCTCTTTCTTTTTTGTTAAGATTTATTTTTATTGAACAGTCAGATATACAGAAAGGAGGAGAGACAGAGAGGAAGATCCTCTGTCCGATGGTTCACTCCCCAAGCAGTCACAAAGGCTGGAGCTGAGCCAATCTGAAGCCAGGAGCCTGGAGCCTGCTCCAGGTATCCCACATGGGTGCAGGGTCCCAAAGCTTTGGGTTATCCTCCACTGTTTCCTCAGGCCACAAGCAGGGCTACTGGGATTAGAACTAGCGCTTATATGGGCTCCTGGGAATGCGAGGTGAGGACTTTAGCCACTAGGCTATTGCACCAGGTCCGACCCCTGGCTTCTAAGCTCCACAATCCTCTCTTACATGTTCATTATGTCACACTGGCCCACGGGGTGAGGTGACATTCTCTGCCCCACGACCACTATGCTGCGGGGACCCTAAAGATGGGATCCTGTGTTTGGTATGCTGTAGACTTGTCAGTCCTACTCACTGGGCTTCACACACAGCAGGATTCACTGTCGGTTAAATGGATGAATGAACTAAATAGCAAAGACAACCTAGAACGTCAGTACTGACTTGAGCCCCTAGGAATCTTGGACCTACAAGGGACAAAGATAAACTGTGAAGATAGTGACAACTGCAACGCATGGGTGCTTGGGCAGGCTCGCTCAGCACACACAGCAGGCTCCTCGTGAACTTGTGCTTGCCGAGCCCTGCCCGTGGGAGCCCGTGGACAGCGTCTGACTGTACCCAAGGCTGCCCAGAGAGTGCTGGTCCTACAGTGGCAGCAGTAACAGTCACCCAGGATCTTCATCCTGCCCCTGAAGTCTCCAGAATTGCAAGGCTTGTGTGATTTTGCCAAGTCGCATGGTATGTTCAGCCTGGGGTCAAACGCCACATTCAAACATGCTAATGTCTAGCTAAAACATGAGACTGCTGACATCCTACCATTCTTCTACATAAAAAAAGAAGAAAAATGGGGCCAGCATGATAGTTCCGTAGGCTAAATCTCCTCTTGCAAGTGCTGGCACCCCACCTGGGTACCAATTTGTATCCTAGTTGCTCCACTTCCTATCCAGCTCCCTGTTGTAGCCTGGGAAAGCAGAAGAAGATAGCCCAAGTTCTTGGGGTCCTACACCCATGTGGGAGATCGAGGAAAAACACTAGAGGATGTCCCAATGCCTTGGGACCCTGCACCTACGTGGGAGACCCAGGAGAAGCTCCTGGCTCCTGGTTTCAAATCAGCTTAACTCCAGCTTTTGTGGACGTTTGGGGAGTGAACCAGAGGACAAATGATCTTTCTGTCACTCCTTTCTGTAAAACTGCCTTTCCAATAAATAAATAAATAAATAAATCTTTTAAAATTTTTTTTTCTCTAGGTGATTCAAGTAATATATACATAGCAAAAGCTACGACTGTTCACCTTAAGAGAGAACAACAGATTAGAAATAGACTTGTTCTTTAGGTCAGATTTAACTGGCAAAAAGTCCCTCTGATTTGAAAGTCCCTTTGATTTGACTGCTACTGTTAACCAAGTTGTGCTGAGTGGGAAGCCACTCGGTTCATCTTTTTGCTTTTTTTTTAATTTGAAAAGCAGATTTACTGCTGGTTCACTCCCCAGGTGGTTTAACGGCAGTGCTGAGCCAATCCAAACCCGAGAAATAGGAGCTTTTCCGGGTCTCCCATGCAGGTGCAGGGTCTCAAGGCTTCGGGCCATCCTCGACTGCTTTCCCAGGACACAAGCAGGGAGCTGGATGGGAAATGGAACAGTCGGGTCATGAACCGGTGCCCATGTGGGATCCCAACCCTTGATGGGAGAGGATTAATTATATTGGCTTAACTGGCTTAATGCATCTTGCCGGGCTCTTGGTTCATCCTCACAGCACCACAGGAGAAGAGGAGGATTACCATCTCTACTTCAGAGGTGGGGTGGAGCCAGGGCCCAGAGAGGTCCGAAGTCGCCAGCAGCTAAGTGGCAGAGCCGAGATCCACTCCCAGGCTGCCCTCAGTCCCAGCCTCCTACAACTTACCATCTTTTACGGGGGCGCAGCCCTCGCTGGACTCAGGGCTCAAGATCACAGAGCAGGGAGAGAGGCCATCAGAGCTGACGGGGAAGGAGGAGCTGCCGGCATCGCTGGGGCTGAAGGAGGAGGAGGTGGCGGCCTTGCTGCGGAGAGAGACAGAGGTAAGGCCGTGAGCGTCTCCATGCAGCAGCTGCCAGCCCAGAGCTGCAGCAGCGGGAGGAACGAGGGCGGGCTCAGGGCACCTGCGCTTGAGCAGCTTGGCAGCTCGAGTCTGGAGGCTCAGCGTCTCCAGGTCCAACAGGGATGAGTTCCACGTGTTCAGGCTCTGTGGGGTGAGAGGGGTCAGACGTCAGGCCCCATGCCAAAGGCTTCTGGGAAAGGTTGTCAAGTGCAGATCTGTCCCTGCTGCCCCATAGTACTCTCCCATTCTGCTTTGCAATCAGCTGTGACTCCTTCTCGTCCTCAGGGAAGAGAGACCCAGGTTGGCTCTTCATGTGCATCCAAGGATGGACTCCGACTAGACCTGGCTAATCAAACATCTCGTCCTTTGGTTCATGGTGATTGGGTCCAGGGTGGGTGGGTGGGGGTAATTCTAGGACTGTTAGGAAAGCCCCTGTGTTTCCCTCAGCGCAGTTCAGGTCAACAGGGAGGATGTGGACGGGAAGACGACCTGCTTCATTTCCTGAAGTGGAGCCATGGCCAGGGATGCGCTGTTCACCTTGACGGGAGTTGGGACAGCTGGGTCCTGTCTTCCTTTGGGCTTGTCAGTTCCTGCTGAGAAACCCAATTGCATTATGGGAGCAAGAGGGAGTGGTTCCTGGGGGGAAGGGGCAGGAAAGGTTTCAGGCCCGTGGCAGGTGACAGCATGAGAAAGAACAGAAGGAGGAACCTGCCTGCTACAACTCGACCACTGGAGACTGCAGACTCGGGCTGCAGCCACCAGAAGTCAGCTTGGGTTGGGCCAGCTGGCTGGCGCTCCTCCCTGCTTGTAGGCTGAGCTTGGCGGAATCTGTTGATGTACCTGTGAACATCCGAGGTGACAGGGGGGTCACTGACGAGTGCCAACTTGTCATCATAGTAGCCATTGTTAACAAGTACCACGTTGGTCTAGGGCATTGTCCTTCAGTATCTGTTCTCCTTTTTTATGTACTAATGCAATCTTTTTGCTGGGTACATAGCCACTTTTCTGTTGACTACATTCACAGGGTGCCCTGTAGTCTTGTGGCCATGCTGTTACGTTCTTGAGCAAAGGTATATGAAGAAGTGATTTTGATGGGTGGGGCAGATCAACTGGCTAATCCTCCACCTGCAAGTGCTAGCATTCCCTATTGATGCTGGTTCCTGTCCTGGCTGCTCTATTTCCCTTCCAGTTCCCTACCTGTTGCCTGGAAAAAAACAGCATAGGATGGCCCAAAGCCTTGGGACCCTGCACCTGTGCGGGAGACTCAGAAGAAGCTCCCAGCTCCTGGCTTTGGATTGGCTCAGCTCCAGCCATTGCAGCTACTTGGGGAGTGAACCAGCAGATGGAAAATCTTTCTATTGCTCTTTCTGTAAATCTGCCTTTCCAAAACAAATAAATGAAAATCTTAAAAATAATAATAAATAAAAAGTGATTCTGGAAAGTCAAATGGGAGCAGGAGCTATCACGCTCCGTGAAGGAAAGTGACCGCCACAAGACCAAGGAAACTACGTCCCTGGGAGCTCAACGTGGGGCTGCCCCATCAGCCCTGGCTGCTGCTACGTGCAGGGAAGGGAGCGATCCAGGCCATCCTAAAGCCACAATTCACTGAGGACTCTGCTTCAGCAAGTGAACCTGAACCCCACACCTCCAAGCGCTCGCCGGGTGAGGGGAGCTGTCATACACCATGGCACGCAGCACCCCAGGACATATGTGTGCCCGACAGCCTCCATTCACAGATAAGGCAGCAGAGGCTATGGTCACAGAGAGTCACGGGACCAGATTGAAACCCAGGCAGTCTGGCTCCAGGCTTCTCAACAACACACAGGAAGTGTTGGGTGCCAAGACGGTGATGCATACACTACTCTGTCGGTGCTCATTATCACGGGGGACCGCTACCTTCCCTCTAACCCAAACACCCCTGTCCCACCAGGGTAGGTGTTGGTACTCACTTGGCCACCACGGAGTCCCCGCTGTCAATCGGAGTGGGTGATGGGGAGGCCCCCGTCGGGCCCTCAGTGGTGGGAGGTGGGGAAGGTGTCCCTGAGGTGGACGGCCAGGACTCTTGGGATGGCTCAGGGGACCCAGGCCCTGTAGCTCTGTGCCTGAGAGCCTGCGGGAGCCTGGCTGCCTGGGACCTGGATGGGCTCCGGGCCTGAGGTTGGGAGAGAGAGCACAGGAAGAAGTGAGGCCTGACAGGGAGGGCCAGCCCTATCAGGCAATGGGGAGACACAGGAAGACAGCTGCAGAGGTGACAGGGCTGACAGCCTACGTGGCTGGGGTCAGCATGGGGTGTCCAGGTAGGCAGCAGAAGAGCGTCTGTCTATCCATGCCCATCAGTCCTGGCAGTCACTATGGGCTACTGTGCTCATGTCCTTACCTTAGGGCACCAGCTCTCGCTTCCAGACGACCAGTAGTGGCTGCCACTCAGAGAAGCATCCCCAAGGGAGCTGGCTTGAGTGGGTAAAGCCGGCTGGCTGCAAGGGGGAAGACCGCAATCGGCTGGCTGAGCCAGTCTTAGGGATTGTTTGGGGGCAGGGAGGGCGGAGGGCATGAGACCCACACAACTGCCATGGATTCCTGGAGAGGGGGATGCTCAGGAAATTTCTCTGACTACTAAAGTCCCTGGAGTCCTGGAAGAGTCTTGGCCTTGGTAGCCAGTCCTTCTCAACCCGGAATCCAGCATAAATGAGGCCTTTAAAATTAGACACTCTGCCCCCAACATGACCAATGGAACTGGACATCCATATCTTTTTTGCAGTATCTCATGTGATTTTGAAATGGAGTTACAGCTAAGTAGCCTGTGGAGACCCTGGGGCATCCACTGTACCTTCATCCCACTCCACCCCTAACTCAACTCCGCCTAAGGGACAAAATTCAAAGAGTAGCACTCAAGGGTGTATCCGAGGCCATTTCAAAACAGCGAAACTCAAACTCAACTCCCGAGATGCTCTCCAAGACCCTTAGGGAGAAAGAACCCCTCGGGGCTACCCATAGACGGTGTGCGGGAGGGCTGTTCAAGTCTAGGGCAGGAGCGGCCAAAGCCGGTGGCGGCCTCGGAAGTTATGTGCCCGAGGGACTGTGGACCCTACCCGGCTTGTGCTGCCCTCCTCCGGGGTCGTCCCGGGTGTCCTGTGGCCTCACCTGCGGTCCATTCCGCAGCTCGGCGCTTCCGCTGTTTGCTTCACCGCACGGACCCCGCGCGCATCTTGGTCGCTTAGCAATGTCCCATTAAGTCCTGCCCCTTTCTGGGAGGAAAAGAGTGGCTTTCCAAAGCGATCAATGATAGAGAGGAAAACATAAGTCTCTGGAAAGCGATTGGCTACGACGTTGGCCTGCTAGAGAGAGCGTATTTGATTGGAGAATTTGCGGCGAGTAGCCGTAATTGGCAAGCTCCTGCACCAATGAAGAAAAGGCCTGTAAGTCGGTCGCCCGGCTCACCTGCAGCCCTTGGGGTTGCTCCTTAGGGCTTGTTCCTGCTCGCGTTCTAACTACTGCGCTACCGGGCAGGGACAGTCAGGGGTTCTGCCCCTCGCCGATCACAGTCGTCCCATCAGTGGGCCAGCCGGCCAGCCCTGAGGGTCGTCTGAACGTTCACCTCTTATGCAGGCGCAGCTGGTTGTATCAGCTGCCAGGCTGGGCTTCTGGCCCAGGTAGTGGGATCAAAGTGAGCTATTTCAGGCCCGGCGCGCGGCCTCTGGATTGGGAAGGCTTAGTGAGGGAGGCGGGGGACGCGCAGCCTGGAGCGTCGGTCTCACGCCCCCTGGCCGCCGCGCACCCGAGGCTGAGTCAGAGGCCCAGAATTAGTCCCAGGACGGGGGAGGGTGGCTCTGTTCCGTGTCCACCTGGCTCCTAAGACCCGTATCTGCGTCATGTCCAGAGTTACCAGCCGGGCGCGCGGGGGGTGGATCTCGTGGGTCCCGGGTCCCAAACACCACGCTGTGTCCCCCCATTTCCCCAAGAGGTTCAGCCTCAATGCCCCCTTTTCTGAAACTGCATGTGTGTTGGGGGGTGGAGAGGGCGTCAGTGACAGCTCCCCTGCTGCCTTCACCGGGCACCCAGCGGGCCCTGAGGAAATGGCCAAGTCATTGTTGGGGTTTCTAAATAAGGCTGTCTTAGTAGCCAGGTCTGGCTACGGTCCCAGTGTCCTGGGAGGCCCGCCGAGGGGCCGCACCCGGAGCGCTATAAAGGCGCGTGGCTGCACAGGGAAGGGACTGCGGCGGAGCAGGATGGAGATCCCGGTGCCCGTGCAGCCGACCTGGCTGCGCCGCGCCTCGGCTCCCTTGCCTGGATTTTCCGCACCGGGACGCCTCTTTGATCAGCGCTTCGGCGAGGGGCTGCTTGAAGCCGAGCTGGCCTCGCTCTGCCCTGCCGCCTTCGCCCCCTATTATCTGCGCGCGCCCAGCGTGGCGCTGCCCACCTCTCAGGTGCCAGGCCTGGGGGAGGGAGGGCGGCAACGACCACTTCCCAAGGCCAGGTCACCCTGAGGGAGCAGCGGGAACGTTGTTGACTTGGGAGTGCGGCTCAGAGGAAGCGGGTGGGACGTCTCGGTGGCCGCGGGGAGGGGGGGATAGAGATGGGGGTGTCAACCAGCCTTGACGGGGCGTGGGGCGTGGGAGGGCTAGGAAGTCCCTTTGAGGAGTGTCCGTGGTGGCTCTGAAGGAAGCTTGGAACCCTAAGAATGTGGAGGAAGGGCATGCCACTGCGGAGCACGCAGCTGAGGAGGGCTGGGGAGCCTGGGGCACCGCAGCCTGGCAGAGGTGGGGAACAGGGCTCCCAGCGACCCTAGAACAGGAGGGACAGGGGAGGGAGTCGGTATCCCGTGTGAGGGGACCCGGGAATCCCAGGCAAAGAGGTTCTCGGAGGTGGAACTCCGGCGTCCGGAGCCGCCCTTTGCACCCCACTGACGGCTCCGTCCCCCGCACTGGCTGTGCGCAGGCGCCATCGGACCCCGGGCATTTCTCGGTGTTGCTGGACGTGAAGCACTTCTCGCCGGAGGAGATTGCTGTCAAGGTGGTTGGTGACCACGTGGAGGTGCACGCCCGCCACGAGGAGCGCCCGGTGAGCCCGCCGGTGGGGACGGGGCGGAGGCGGGCTGCTGAGCCGGGCCGGGGCCCGCTCACGCCTGTGTGTGCGCTCCAGGACGAGCACGGATTCATCGCGCGCGAGTTCCACCGCCGCTACCGGTTGCCACCGGGCGTGGACCCTAACGCCGTGACATCTGCGTTATCACCCGAGGGCGTACTGTCCATCCAGGCCGCACCAGCGTCTGCGCAGGCCCCGCTGCCGCCAGCACCTGCTGCCAAGTAGGGGTTTCAGGCATGCCTGAACCCGGGGAGCCTCTTGGGGCTCCTGCTCTTCAAGCCTATTTAATCTGACTCCGCCCAGCCAGAAGTCCCAAGCACGCCGACCATTCCCGACAAAATCAAGAAGCCTGCCTTGCCCCTCAGCCTAGATGACACCCACACCCTCATTATCCGACCCCAGCCCCTCACTCCCTACACTCTTGCATCTGCACTGACCCCACTAACTTGGCACTTGCCCCACTCAAGACTCCCCACTCTCCTCCTCCTAACCACTCCATAAAGACACCCCACATCCCATCCCCAGTCTTTCCAGTGTAGATGGCCCTGCCCAGACCCTAGGCCAGCCCAGCGTAATCCCTCAGCCAGGGTGTTCCCAGGCATCAGGACCCTCCCACACACCCCACTAGATGGCCCACCCTACTGCAGCCCATTTCTGACTTAAACCCCAGGCTCTTGAATGAATCCCTGACTGCCCACCTGGGAAGACCTATCCTAATCCAACCAGCACCCCAAGCCTCAAACTGTACAGACACCCCTCAAGCTCCCCAGGCTGCATAAGTGCCCTGGGGCTCCTCCCCATGCCCACCAGCAGCTCCGTTCTGACTCCCAGGTCTCCAACAAGATATCCTGGGCAGCCCCTTCCCCACACTACCCACCACACTGTCCCAGACCCCATCAAACAACCACTCTGGTATCCTGCGACCTTTTGTCCTTTTTGCAGTACCCACCTGCCGCCTGATCCCGACTGCTCTCCAAGGCCTGCCCCCCCTTCAATAAACAGGCTAGAGCTGTGCCAACTGTCTATATCTGGCTTGGGCAGGGTGCGTGGGAGGAGTGAAGGCCAGTGTGCAGTCAAGGAATGTTTACTGGGGGGGGAGGGAGCAGAAGGGACCTGGGGACATTACTGCCGCTCGTACATCTCCCGAAGGATCTGCATGCTTTCCGAGTAACGAAGCTGGTTGCGATGAGAGGCCTCCTTCCACCTGGTCAGTCAGAGGGAGGACTTAGCACAGGCCACGAAGGCCAAGGCAGGGGCAGGCCAAGCAGGCTGGAGGCTGCTCACCTCTGGCGGATGCGTTTCCAGCGCTGCATGTTGCGGTAAATGAGTGTGGAGCGTGACGGCTCCGGCTCTGAAGTCTGTGTACAGAGAAGCTGGGCTGTGTGGCTGAGCCTTCCCACTCCTCAGAAAGGTCCCCTCAGCCTGGGTCGGCCTACCTCATGGTCTGGGGAGCCCTGGGTCTCAGGCTGCAGTGGGGATGGAACGCGGGAGGAGCAGGCATCTCCAGGCGGCCCAGGGGCCATGGGCGGAGGCAGCTTGTACACGTCCCGGCTCTTGCTGTTGGCGGCCTCTGAACCCTGGGAAACGGGCACCCCAGGCCAGGCCGCAGGAGGGAGGGAGGGGAGAGGGTTAGGAGGCTGGCACCTCACCAGCCTGGGATCAGAACTCTTGACCATTTCCTCCCTGGCCACCCAGGCCTGCCCTCGTACTGCAATTTATACCTGCCAGCATAGGGGACCATGTCTGCCTCTCAGGGACTCCTAAGGGGTCACACAGGTGTCACGAGGGGACCCCTTTCTATGACTCCCCAGGGCAAGAGGCCATGTCTGCTTTGGGGATTCCTGTCCTTTGCCCCCTTTGATAGAAAGGTCACCCCTGTGCATCCTAGGGATCCTGGTCTACCATCCCCAGCCAGATGCCACACAGACCCTCATCCTTCCTCCTCTCTCCTCCAGGCCAGATGGCCATACCACCTCTACCGACAGCCCACTCAGCTGCTCAGCTCTAAGGGACCCTTCATCTTGGCAATCACACTCTTTGCCAGGAAGCCCCGCTCCCTCTGCCAGGTGTCTGCTTGCCCTTGGGGCCCTTCTCCACATCTGCAGCCTAAGGATGCACATCTGTATGCCTGACTTGGCCCAGCATATGGTCGGGACATCAGGACCTGTGCCTGACCACCCCACTAACTTAGGTGGTGTGGGAGAGATCACGTCTACCCCCGGCCTTCCCAGCTGCCAGACTGGGGCCGACTAGCCATCCCACCTCTTCATCCTCTGGCAGAGGGGGCAGGGGCGAACTGGGCGAGCGTTCACGCTCGCGCACAGAGGGACTGTTGCGCATCCAGGCACGGCAGATTGGATACAGTGGCGTGTTCTCGCTGAACTGGGCCAGGTCCACGCTCCGGTCAAACAGCTTGATCACGTAGGTGTCTGTGGCAGGGAGCAGGGGATGGAATATGAGCAGCCTCGTGGATTCCCCTGCAGCCCCTTCCCTGCCACTCTCTGCCCCACCCTCCAGGCACACTGCCTACTCACTGGAGCGCTGTGGGCCCCCCTCAGCCAGCCCATCATCCATCTCCCTCCTCTTCTTCCTCCGTTGGTGCGGGAAGCGGGCAGATGGCCTGTGTGGGGAGGGGAGGTGTCAGGGCCTGGGGAGGGGCCAGGATCCTGTCTCAAGCTGGCTGGGGTCCCTACTGCTTTACCTTTTGCCAGTGGCTGCAATGGAGCAATCCCTGTGGGGGGAGAGAGAGAGAGAGAGAGAGAGAGAGAGGGCTCCAGTAGGCTGACCTCCAAACAAATGCTTGCTCACTGTCCCCTCTCCATAACGCACCAGGGTTAGGCTGCCGACCAGGGCCTTGTACCCCTGCCCATATCCCCATGCAGCATTGCTGTATGTAGGGACAGGGACAGATGCACAGGGCAGAGTGGCGTGGGAATAAGTTACCCATCACAACCCTCAGATCCAGATTCCATCTCCCCTAAAAGACAAAACAGCATACTTGTTGTGGGTGTCCGAGGGGGTCTTCCCAGCTTCCTCATCCAGCCGCTCTCTGGCAACAGAGGAGAACTGTTGGCTTGGGATTCCAGAGGGCCAGCATGGGGGGACCCCAAGTTACCTGGCCACTGGCTGCCTTCCCCTGAGACCCACCCAGCAAGACAGGGTTCAAATCCACCCCACCCTGGACCCAGTCCCAACCTGTCCATATGACTCTTCTCCAGCAGACCCTGCAGAACGGCATCCAGCTGGTTCCGGGCTTTGGCCATCTCCAACTCTGGGGGCAGAGAGAGAGGCGGCCCAGTGGGCATCAGGCCGCAGGTCCCAAGGACGTAATGGCTGGCTGGCTGGCCCGCCGGGCATCTCCTCCGCCCAGGCCAATCCTCCGGCCGTGCATAGATGTGTGGAAAGGGCACAGTGGGCAGGAACTCAAGTAAAGGGCGAGAACTCTGAGCTTGGAGCTGGCGCAGGTGTCCCCAGTGTTACCCGAGGTAAAGCGTGTCACCTGCCCACACTGGCCCATTTCCTCTTGAAACACATGCCATCTACCTGCTAAAACTGCTGCAAAGCTCAAAAAGCCTGAATCAAGGACAGGGAAATAAAAAGTAACACCTTCAGAATGCTTATTACGTGCTCGCTTCAGCAGCACATATACTAAAATTGGAACGATACGGAACGCTTATTATGTGCCAGGAACCGTTCCACATATAGTAGTCACCCCCTGAATTCTCACAAGTCAAGCAGGTCAATGGGATTGTTATCCTCCTCTCCCCTTTTCGGATGAAGAAACTGAGGTTCAGGGATGCCCCAAGTTACACTGACAACAAATCCTATGGCGAGAGCTCCAAACCCAGCCTGTCTGCTTCCAAAGCTGAGACATAAGGCAGAAGCTCCAACTGGACAGAGCATCAGGGCGCAGACCTGCTCTGCATGGCTGAGTGGTATTTGAAATCTGAGGGAGCCCATAACTGACAAGTGGGGAAGTTGTATCCAAAATGTCCTTTTGTTGACTGCCTCCCGGCCCCTGCACGCCCTGGGCCCCGACTGCCAGGCACCTTGTGCATCACAAGGAAACAACTGAACCAAGAGAAGACGTTATAAATATTCTTTCTTGTCCCAGGAGGCGTTTGCTTTCCCTTTTCGCAAGGAGTTCAGCCTGAAGCTAGAAGGCCCCTAGGATATATACCTGGCCAGCCCTGGGGACTTCCTGAAGGGGCCAAGGACAAGCCTCAGGGTGAGCATGTTGAGGGTGGAGGACACCAATGCCCCCGCCCCTTCTTTTGAACCCTGGCAATCTCGTGATCCCCAACGCACCTCGCCCTGGACTCCTCCTGCCCATTGGCTGCTCCTCTGTAAACCTATCCCTCCTCAGAGACACGCTTCCAAAAAGGGTGCTCCCTTCCACCACCCCAGCCTGTCCACTTGGTCTTAAGAACACCCCTTCCAAAACAAAACAAAACAAAACAGAATGCCCCTTCCACCTGTCCCCACCTGAGCCCTGTGCATTCCTCCCATGAACCCTGAGCCTCCATCTCCTCCCCACAAGGCAGCCACGAGCACAGCTGAACCTGCCCCCTCCGCAGCTCCACAGCCAAACCCTTTCCCCACCACCTCGTCTGTCTTTGGCACCGAGAGTCCAGTTCTCTTCTGTGGACTCTTTGGACTCTTTCCTCACACAGCCTTCTCCTTTCCCTACTTTGGCTTTGTCTCATGCCACATAACCTAAAATCCCTACTTCATTCTACTCCTGTCCTTTGGTTTGGTTTCTGTGCCTCTTCCTCCTGCCCCAGCCGCAGCCCCAAACACTTTTCTTGGTTTGAGCTTAAGTTTGCCCACTTACGGCACCTGCTAGGGCTTTGGAATGTCATGATTATGAGAATTCAGAGTTCCTGTTCACGACACAATGCTTGACTCATGGCCAGGACTGGAAATGGGGGAAAGAAAAGGGACCTGCCCAGAATTAGCGGCTCAGGAATCCTCTGTTCTTAGCTGGACCACCACGACTCATCCTCCAAGCTGCTTGCAGCGCAGGGAGGAGAGGAAGGTGGCGGCAAAGACCGAGGCTCCGGACAGCGACAGGCAGAGGCGCTGCCGGGAGAAGTCACGCAGTCCGCCTTTTCGCGATCATCCAACACCCACACCAGCCCGGTGCTCCCCAAACAAGTCCCCGAACTCGGGGTCCTCACCTGATTTCTCCACCTTCACCTTCACTGGGAACATGGCTTTGGTCCGGGATCTGGCTAAGCGGATCAGAAAGGCACAACAGAGCGTAGGGCATCCGATCACGCCCCGGGACAGGCGGGAAGACGCAGAGGGCAAGTTGCGGACCAACAACCGCCGGGGCCGGAGAAGTGTCCAGCTGCAACTGCTACGGCCACCGCGGCCACTCCACCTTCCCCTTCTGTGGGCGGACCCGTTGGGCAATTGCTCTTCTCTATTAATCAACGCAGCTGTCAATCTAGTGCCTTGACAAATAAAGAGCTGCCGCCGTCTACTCCCAGCCTGAAGCCCCACCTTCCTGGAGGGTGTCATTTCCGGAAACAAACCGACATCAACCATGAAAGCTCCCTACGAGGTGTAGGAAACGGTCTTGCGCCGCGCGGTGCACTTCGGGATACACTGGATGGGACGTCGCGAAGCCTTCTGGGACTTGTAGTGTTAGGCTTAATACCGGATTACCTGTTTACAGGATTTAACTAAAATTAGCTGGTTTCCCTCTGAGCACAAATCCCAGTCATTTAGCAAACTTTTGTAAAGGTGCTAGGCCTTAGGGACAAAGCAGTCAACAAAACAGATAAAAAAATTATTGTCCTAATGAACTTGTTTTAGAGGATAAACATATTGGGGTTCACTCTAGGAGGCAGAGGACTTGGACCTCTGCCACTCACTTGAAGACTTGAATTCCTGGCTCCAAGCTTCTACCTGCACCAACTTCAGCTGTAGAGGGCACTGGTGAACCTGTGGCTGGAATAACTCCCTCAGTTCCTCTTTCTGCCTTTCAGGTAACAAGAAAAATGTAAGCATCTAAGCAGGTAAAACATTTTAAGTGAAATGTGATAGGATGAAGACTGCAGGCAGAGGGGGCAGGGGTTTGGTCTAGTGGTTGAAGAAGCCCATCCCACGCCCCTTATCGGAGTGCGTGGGCTCCATTCGTAGCTCCTGATGCCAGCTCCTGGCTTCTGCAAAGCCCCGGAGAGGAGGCACAGGCTGTTTCACTCACTGGGGTCCTGCCAACCCACATGGCAGACCTGGGTTGCAGTCAGCTCTCAGGTTCAGTGATTGCAGAGAAAAATCAAACAGTTCCTTAAAAACCCACAGGGAGCATGAAAGTTGAGATTTTTGTTTAAAGTTTGTTTTTATTGGTAAAATGTTGGAAGCATATTGGCAGAAGAGAGTCAAAGATCAGAAGCTGGTTCACTCCCCAAACGGCCACAACAGAGCTGAGCCACTCTGAAGCCAGGAGCCAGGAGTCCTTCTGGGAGACTGACATTTTTTTTAAACCATTTATCCTTTAATTCCCCCCTCCTTTTTTAAAAGAACATTTATTTTTATTGGAAAGGCAGATATACATAGAGGAGAGACAGAGAAGAGAAAGATCTTCTGTCCACTGGTTCACTCCCCAAGTGACCGCAATGCCAGAGCTGGGATCCTGGTGGCACGTAGGGTGAGGAATTCAGCCACTAGGCTCCTGCGCCGGTACCTGGACGGACATTTTTAAATAGGCTAATCAAGAAAGGCTTCTCAGGTCAGCAGGGGCTCAACTGGCTGATCTGAGATGCCTTCAAGCACGGTGCCAGTTCATGTCCCGGCTGCTGTGCTTCCTGCTTGTGGCCTGGGAAAGCTACGCAGAGTATGGCCCAAAACCTTGGGACCCTACACCCATGTGGGAGGCCCAGAAGCTCCTGGCTTCGGATTGGCTCAGCACTGGCCATTGTGGCCACTTGGGGAGTGAATCAGAGGATCTAAAATCTTTCTCTGATTCTCCTTCTCTCTGTAAATCTGCCTTTCCAATAAAAATAAGTAGATATTGGGTGACGGGGAAGAAAGGCTTCTCAGATGCTCTTGAGTACTTCTGCTGCTGGGACGAACACCTTTAGACAACCGGAAACTTCAGGATCCAGCATCGTGATCCGGGTACTCTGAGGGGCAAGCTCATGGCCAGTAGCACAAGACCGCAGCCTCTGACAATGGAGGTGACAGTGCTTCCTGGCTCCTTCTCTGTACAGCAGTCTTGCTGAGCAGGCAGGTTGGGATTTCTGAAAGTTTCTATGAGTGGTATCAACCAAACAACAGAATACATATAATGTATGAAGCACTGACCCTGGTAAAAAGTAAGCACTCTGTATGTGTTTTAAATATCGTTACAATTTTATTTTCATTGCATAGTCACACCTATAGAAAGGAAAAACTGGAAGATCTTCCATCCGCTGATTCACTCCCCAAGTGGCCACAATGACCAGAGCAGAGCCGAATTGAAGCCAGGAGCCAGGAGTTTCTTCCGGGTCTCCCAAGCGGGTGCCGGGTCCCAAGGCTTTGGGCTGTCCTCAACTGTTTTCCCAGGCCAAAGGCAGAGAGCTGGATGGGAACTGCGGCAGCTGGGACATGAATGGGCGCCCATATGGGATGTCAGTGTGTGAAGGTATAGGGTCAGCCTGTTGAGCCACAGCATTCGCCCCATATTTTAATCTATTAGTAACCATTTTATGCTTCACCCTCCAAAAGATCGCAGGGAGTCAACAGGGAAGACTGGTGTATTTTATTGGGGGATGAGGGAAGGGTGTCAAAAGAGAACAAAGTAGAGGGAAGCAAGTGTGGGGGCTGGAGCTGCGCTGAGAGCAGAGCACCTCATCGTGCAAGACTAAGCAAGTGCCCAGCAGGTGTCCAGCCTGCACGGGAGCCGTCAGGGAGTGCCCAGGGGGATGGTGAAGGAGAGGTAGTCTCCAAGGGCACCCCAGCGGGGCCGGTAGATTTGAAAGATGGTGATCCAGGTGGTGAGCGCGATTACCCAGAAGAGGAAGCCCACGGCCGAACGCCAGACATCTGCAAGGGGGTAGAGAGAGAACAGGAGGGAGCCTGGACCAGCCCTCCCCTCCTGCCTCTCTCCCAGGCCCCAGGGAGCCTCCATCACCCGCCCGCAGGCCTCCCTCCACTCACAGCCTTTGATCTGGCTCTGCTCGGTGTAGGCCGGGGCAAGGAAGGCCTCTCGGAAGAACCAGAAAATGTTGACCAGCCAGAGAAAAGGCAGGAAAGCGAACCCTCCTGAGAAAACAAAGGAGCGCACCGGGTTACGTGGCGATGCGGACCCTCCGGCGAACCCCTAGAAGCTCCCCAGGAGTCCGCGCCGGGGCCTTGGTCTTCCCTCGGGCTCCGTCCACTCTTCGCCGAGGACCCCGCGGGCTCGGCCCTTACCCAGGTAGTACTTCCGGCATAGGTTCAGCTTCTCCTCATTGGATACCCGCTCCAGGTTCATCCTTGCGTTAGGGGCCGGGTCTTCGCGAATGTCAGGACAGGGTAAGGGTGGGAGGGCACAACTCAAGCCCGAACCCTAAAGTAGCAGACGCCAGGAGCAGACGCCACGAAGAACAGAGTGGACGTTTGCGGGAGACGCCGCGCGTTCCTCTGTTTGTTGTCCCTCCTGGCTGTGCGCATGCGCTTCCTTCGGGAGGTCGCCGAGTTGTGGGAACCGGGCGCGCGCCTGCAGTGCGCAGGCGCACTAGGTGGGAGGAGGTGTGTCCGGGCGCGCGCCGAGCCACAGAAGGCAGCTCGAACTACATTTCCCAACGTTCCAGAGACACGGAAGTGACGTCAGAGCAGCCCATTTGGAGTAAAAAAAAATATGGCTTAATATTTGGCTTCGATATTCGGGACTAAGGACCAGTGAGAACGGCCCAGGGATGGCCAGGGGACCCGGGTGCGCGTCTGAGTGCGCGGTGGCCATGCGGCTCGGAGTGCTGTGCCTGGGGTGTTGGGTGTCCCCAGCGCTCTGTTCACCCGAGTCTTTGCACTTCTTCTAGGTCTTTCTTTTTGATTTAAGATCGGGTTCTGCTGGCACGGGGACACGTGCTCCCTGCTTCACAGTAAACTTTCAGCCAGGTGAGATCCGGCTCAGAGCCCCAGGAGTTAACGCTTTCGTGCCGTCCATCACTCCCGAGGCTCCGCCCTTTCCGGACGTTGAAGCCCCGCCCCCGCCGTCCTCCGATCCGTCTCCTAGCAACCTGGCCACGCCCTGCACGTGCCTACTGCCGCCCTGCTCTGTCCATCAATCCCTGGGCGCACTCCTTTCCTAGAGAGGAGCATCTCTGCTGGGTTGGTGACGTGCTGGCTCCTTCTGTGGTGCAGGGTCTCCCCCTGGTGCAGTCTCCCAACGCCGGCCTTCATACCCCACTCTGCATGCAGCCCAGCCCTCTGAGGCCCTGTTCCTTTTAAATTCTGTCCAGACCATAGTGCTGCTCAACTTGTACCGGCACCCACAGGACACGACAGACTGCATTCGGATCCCACTGTAAAGGATCGTGGTCAGGGGCAGGGCGAGGGCCTCCTGTTAGCCACTCCGTGATTCCCACCCCTCTCAGCTGTCCTCCAGGTCACATGAGCATCGTGGAGGTGCAGGAGCACCATGACAGCTTCTTCCAGGTGATGATGAAGTCCCACCCTGGCTCGCACAGGTGGGCTGGGTGTCCCTGGAAGCTGAAGCTGAGCTGAATACCTGCCCATCTTCCACAGGAGGTGTTCACAGAACTGCAGGAAAAGTACAGGAAGATTGAAGAGATGAATGCTTGCAACAACCTGGGAGATCACTGGTCAGCAACGTTTATATCAGGGTGGTTGCTGTTTCCACCTTAGGCCCCAAGGTGGGGATATCCCATCCATTCCCCAAGGCCACCAATGAGACCCAGCCCAGCTGTCCTGGACAGTCCAAGTACAACTGCTGGCTGTCACCAACTTTTCCCCATCCCCAGTTCCAGAGGGAATATACAGAGTGCTCTGTTGCTGAACTCAACAACTACTGGTTCAATGGGCAAACCGTGCATGCTGAACTGTCCCCTGTCACCAACTTCCAGGGGTCATGCTGTCAGCAGTGAGGTGGGGTATGGTGGCAGGAGGATGGGACGGCCACTTGGAGCCCCAGACTTAGGTGGTGAGGGGCTGTCAATGACAGTGGTCTCTTTCTCTACACAGGAAGTGTACCCATGAGCGCTTCTGCAACTTCATGCTCTTGTGACCCATTTCCCGGACTCTCCAGCGGCAGTTCTGTGGGTGGGGCCCTAGGCACAGGGACCTCAGGACCAGCCCACAAGATCCCATATATACCCTACACTCTAAAATGAGCTTCACGCTAAGTTCCAAGACATTGTCACAAGACTTCTGCTTTCTTTGAATACAGAGAGGAGAGTTGAGATCTTTTCAAGCACTTCCAAATGGCTGCCACAGCTGGGAGCCAGGAACTCCATCCAGGTCTCCCACACAGGTGCATGGACCGAAGGACTCTGCGACTTTTCCAGGCACATTAGCAGGGGCTCGATTGGAAGTGGAGCAGCCAGGATTCAGGTGCTAACCCCACGATTGCTGAGTCCTAACAACAGGCTTGAGTTCCATCTAAAAACCAACACTTCAGTTTCTTTTTTTTTTTTTTAACTTTTTTTTAAAAAAGATTTATTTTTATTATTTTGTTTATTGGAAAGGCAGATATACAGAGAGGAGAGACAGAGAGGAAGATCCTCCGTCCGATGATTCACTCCCCAAGTGAGCGCAACGGCCGATACTATGCCGATCCGAAGCCAGGAGCCTCTTCCGGGTCTCCCAGACGGGTTCAGGGTCCCAAAGCCTTGGGCTGTCCTCGACTGCTTTCCCAGGCCACAGGCAGGGAGCTGGAAGGGAAGCGGGGCTGCCGGGATTAGAACTGGCGCCCACATGGGATCCCGGGTGTGCAAGGTAAGGACCTTAACCATTTGTGCCACCGCGTTGGGCCCCAACACTTCAGTTTCAACCCCCACACCAGCCTGAAACTCAAATCCAGGATCAGCTCGGATCTGCAATTTTTTTTTAAAGATTGATTTATTTTTATTGGAAAGTCAGATTTACAGAGAGGAGAGACAGACAGATCTTCTATCTGTTGGTTCATTCCCCAATTAGCCACAACTGAGCTAAGCCAATCTGAAGCCAGGAACCAGGAACTTGTTCCAAGTCTCCTTTGCGGTTGCAGGGTTCCACAGCTTTGGTCAACTGCCTTCCCAGGTCACAAGCAGGGAGCAGGATGGGAAGCGGGACCACCAGGGTTAGAACCAGCACCCATATGGGATCCTGATGCATGTAAGGTGAGAACTTTAGCCAATAGGCTACCATGCCGGGCCCCGATTCTTTGTAGCTCGGCTTGAAAGCACCTACTGGAAATCTCAACCTGGTACCACTTTGCCCTCTCCATTTCAGAGGGGCAAGCCTCAGCATTCCTTGCCCCACTGCCAATAGCCTTAGCCCAGTTCACTTTCTGTTGGCAGATCGCTGGCATGGTCCCATGCTGCCCATTGACAGTGAGAAAAAGTATAGGTGGCATTCTCCAGACCACCTGCATGGCTGCTTCTGAGACTCCAGCCTTCTTTCCCCTTCACCCTCCCAAGACCCCTCTTCGACCATCTTGTCCAGATCTGGGGTTGAATGTATTGGTCCTTATCCCCAAATAATGGCTTTCTGGGTCTTTAAGAAAAAAAATAAAAGCTCTCTCCTCTTCCCTCCCCTGCTCCACACACCTACATCATTTGACAAAAGAGGAAGCAGGGCTGACCACAACTTCTGCGGAGGAGCTGCCAGCTGGTGGACTGAGGACTCACTTGTCACTGGTGGGCCAGGGATACCTTTGAATGGCACCTGCATTCAAGGCTTTTTTTTTTTTTTTTTTTTTAAGAGGCAGATGCTTGGTTGCTTGTGGTGATTATTATGCTTTGGCTAACAGCTTGGGTGTTCCTTAAAGGCTCGCGTATAGGGATCACTTCCCAAAGCCTCGGGCATACTGGTTAATGGACTAGAGGGCCCACCTGGCGGGAGGTCGCTGCTGCTGATGGCGCTCTGCAAAGGCAGTTTGACAGGTTGGCTGAGCTTCGCTGCTTCCTGGCTTATGGTGTCAGAGCCACGATTTGCTGCCCTCACTGATACGGAGCTCGGATTGTAAACCCCAAAACTGAGCCAAAACAAACTCCCTTCCTCCCCAAGGAGGGTGTTACAGCAAGCAAAAGCTGGCTATCACAGAGGGCAGGAGAGGTAGCTGGAGGATAAGGAGTCTGTGAAAATTAGGGCTGGGTTCTTCATGCTCCCAACCCTGAGACGGGAGGGGTAGCACCTAATGCTTGACTTTTCATAGTGCTTCTGATTTTCACATTAGGGAAAATGGAGAAAATGGAGCGTGGGTACAACAGAGGCTCAGAAACTGGCTCATCTAGGTCCAGGGTTTTGAGAGGAACTTGGATACCTGAGGCATTTCTCTGATAAGGGGCCAGGAGCTGAATGGGTGATAGTGGGTGGGATAGATTTCCAGCTCCTAAAGGGGCTTCAGTATTCTTTGCACCCACATCTGCTTACTTCTCCCACCAGGGTTTCCTGCAGAGTGAGGAGAGGAGAGGTGCTAAGATCTGATCGGAAGTGCTGTGGTCTTGTCCCCCAGGCTGCAGGCTCTACCGGATGGTGCCCACACGCCTCTTCCTAGCAGCCGTGCTGCTTCTGGCCCAGACAGCGCCACCGGAAGCTTCCCAGTACTGCTGTAGCCTTGAGTACTGGAACCCAGACAACAAGTGCTGCAGCAGGTGCCTGTGGCGTTTTGGGCCGCCCTGCCCTGGTGAGGAGATGATGCTAAGAAAGTGGCAAATGGGTAGAGTCAGTGGGGAGTATGGGACTGTGGGCTTACGGAATGTCATTCTGGGTGCTGGGGATGCTGGGTCTGGCGCTAAAGGAGATGGGACCCAGGTGGAAAGAGGGGATGAGGGCCAAAGTGGGTAGGGGGAGGGCTGGGAGGCTCTACCGCCACTAGAGTCCATGTGTCTCACTAGATAAGGAGTTTGTAGAAAACTGTGGGCACAATGACTTCGGAGATATCGAAACACACCCATTCAAGAACTGTTCTCCTGGCTGGTGCAACCCAGACCGCGAGGAGCTCTGCAGGCCCTGTGGCACTGGGACCCCAGCCCTCACATTGGCCAGGAACTGTAACAGAATCCAGCAGCGCTGCAAAGAGGTGCATGTCAGACTCTGGGAACAGGGGAAGGCCCAGGCGGAGCCCTACCCTGCTAGAGGTGGGGCAGGCCCTCATCTAGAAGTGGGTGTAGCCACCATGAAGAGGACAGGATGGGGCCTGAATCAGGGATTGAGGAAGAGCTGGGCTAGTAAGGTGGATTGGGGGTGGGCACATTTAGGGCAGGATATGGGAAGAGACTTGGCCCCTCTGAATCATCTGCAGGTTAGGGTGAGAAGAGTTGGGAGCGGCCTCCCACTCTACTCCCATTCTTTTGTTCCCAGAGGCCCATCGGTACAGATCAGTGCTCAACAACTAGAATAGTGCTGAACCACCTGAACCAAAGTGGCTCCTATGAGCCCAGCTTACCAGCAACTGATAGTCTCTCGTGGCCCAGTAACAGCATCATCTCCCCACCAAACTTTGTCTTGCCCTTGGTGCTGGTTCCACTCCTGCTTGTGACCGTCTCAGTGATTCTGCTTGCCCTGTGGAGGCATTGCCTACCCAAGGGAGAAGCCACTGCCAACACTGGCTCAGTTCATGGAAGACCCAACACCTTCAGCCTCTCCTGGCCCCTCTCCACAGGCACTCTGGTGCTCTCTGGGGTAGGGAGCACAGGGGTGGCGCACTCTTTGCAGAGACACGTCAGCAGAGGTTAGTGGAGAGGCACCAGAGATGGGAGGGGATCAGGCGATCTGCTTTTCCCTCACCCTCCCTCCTTCTGTCTCCCAGAGCTGCCGAACCTGGCTTCCCAGCCCCTGTCCTGCCTTTTGGAAGAGCTGGAGGTGCTGGAGGAGCTGATTTTGCTGTTGGACCCTGAGCCCGGACCAGGTGGGAGCGGAGCCTGTGGTACCACTAGACACCTAGCTGCAAGATACGGGCTGCCTGCCACCTGGTCTACCTTTGCCTACTCACTGCGGCCCAGCCAGTCACCACTGCGGGCCCTGATAGAGGTGGTGGTGGCCAGGGAGCCAAGCGCCTCTCTGGGCCAGTTTGGTTCATACCTGGCCCAGATTGGGCGGGCAGATGCACTGCAGGTACTCTCCAGGCTTACTGGACCTACTCTATTCAATAAAAACGAAGCTTTGTTTGAAATATACACTTGCTGTCCCTGGCTCTCTGTTCTTGCTGAAGTAAAACCTAAACTGGACAAGATCCACCATCTTCATCCCCTACCTTCAAGAGCCTCTGAGCAACCAGGACCCCCTTCTAAGAAGCAGCTTCAGCTCTGGGACCCAGCTGTGCCTCAGCTGGGAGATGCAGAACCCTGGGGCTCTTGGAACAGAGCTCAGGGTTTACTTCCAGTTCTGGACGGCTTCTCACCTTGCTGTGGTTGTGGTGGCTGACGGGACTTCCTTGGTTCAGGATGGGTATAGGGCAGGGAGACATGGGTTTCCTACCTGCCCCAACAGTGTACACGTGGGAACACCATCTTTCCAAACATTGACAGACTTTATTGTGGGGGGTTCCCACCTGGGACCCCACCCTCTTAAATAAAAAAGTGCATAGAAAAGAAGGGATTTAGAAACCTTTGTACAATATCTACATCCTGGGCCCCCAGGACAGAAAGGGGACCACTGCTGGGAGGGCTGGAGGGTGGAGGCAGGCTCCTTGCCACCTGCACGCCCACATCCACCCTGAAGAGTAGGATGGGAGTGAGATGCTTGGGGAGGGGTCAGGAAGCGCCCAGGCCAGGGGCAAGATGTGGGGTGATGGTGGCATGAGGGGTCGTGGTGGGCAGCCACGGCCTCAGTTAAGGAACCGACGACAGCGCTTGGCGCCACAGTTGCAGGGCAGCTTGTTACTGGCATCCTCGATGGGGAACTTGTAGTCATAGGTGAGCTCCTCACCACGAAGGATGCGGCGCAGTGCAAAGATTACGATGTGTTTTTGGCCCTCCACATGGATGACGCGAGAGAAGCAGTTGGGCTCGCAGGAATGGTTGATGAAGCGGGCAGCATTGCCGTGCATGGTGGCATCCACCACATCAAAGTCATCCATGCGGAACATGTAGCACCCGATGCCCTATAGAGATGGGGTGCGGAATCAGGTGTTCCATCCCTACTAGCTGGCCCAACTCACCCATCCCATCCTCCTGTGGCCTCAGGGAGCCCACCTTCCCATCGTAGAACTTTTCCCGCTTATCAGTCAGCACAGAGCGAATAACAATACCAGAGTACTCAATGACCATCTCGCCGGCATCGATGTTGCGCTTACAGAATAAGCCTCGCCCATGGATGGCTGATCTGCACAGCAGAATGCACAGGGAAAACACTCAGAGGGTAGGGAGACAGAAGCTTGTCTGGAAGTACAAGTGGTACCGCCTCCAACCCCACTAACCTGTAGACACCCACGGCCTCTTTGGACGTCTTCTTGAGATGGCGAAAGCGCATGGCCATGGGCAGCTCCAGGCTGGTGGCACGTCTGGTGAGGTACAGCAGCATCACACAAGCTGGTACTCAGGAGGGACTGTCCTCTCCCACCCCACGTCACCCTTGTTAGGACCCTTCTAAATCACCCCTAGCACCCGGGCTTGTCTTCCATACCTGGTGGACCTGAGCTGTACTTCATCCTCTTCCTCATCACAGGTGGCCCCTTCAGGAAGCACCCGGTGCTGGGAGGCCAGGAAGTTGAACATGTCAAAGGTGCACTTCCTGCCCATGGGAAGAAGAAGAGGTTCATGGCCATCCCCCCTTCAAGGAGACATGACCTACCCATTTTCAGAGCAGAGCAAACACACGGCAGAGTGGACGCAGCTCATTCTTCTGCTAAGAACTTACACATCACTCTCACATTGGCCTCAGACTCAATTCCCACCCCTGAGAGCTGCCACAGGGTTCTCACCGGAGATAGACCTCGGCTCGGGCAGCCCCATGGGGATTCAGGGGCGGTTCCTCCTGACCCTCTCCTTGCTGGTGGTAGCGGAACTTATAGTGCTGGCAGCGCTGGGCCCCTGGTAGCTGCTCTGCCAGGAAAATGACAGCATCGTGGTGGATACCCAGGAGCCTAGCCCCACTCATTCCTGAGGAGAGAAGGACACAACAGTCACATGGAGGATCCACCATGCCCTTGGGTCACCCAAGCCCACAGCAGCCCTGAAGCCCGCAACTTACCACTGAAAGACAGATGTCTGAGCCGGGCATGCCCTCGGGCCTCCTGCACCTTCTCAATCAGAGCTCTCCAGGCCCCTAGAGGGGAGAGGACCAAGTCAGCACGGTGTCTCATGCGATACTTTCTCCCTCCTGCCACTGCCACCCCCAACAAACCTTCTAAGCTCTCTGCTTCTACGCTGAACCCATCTTCACTGCTGATCTCAAATCGCAGATGTGGGCCCGCCCGTTTGGGGGCTTGGTTCTCCTTGTCCTCTGGGAACTGGGGTTCTTCCTCAGAGCTCGAAGCCTCACCTGGTCCCAGGGAGCAAGTCAGAGGAGGAGGTGAGAACAGTCCTTCCTGGGCTCACAAAGGTCCTGAGGTCCCCACTGCCCGCCCAGCAGAAGGGCAAACACTGGAGTCTCCTGCCCTTCTTTCTGCTCCAACTGCCCCTGAGCCCTGCAGCACAGCTCCTATTCTTCCTAAGGGGCCTGGGGTTCCATTCTGTGGCCTCCCAGTCAAGACTCCCTCTGACAGCCTGCTACATGCCTGTCTATCTATTTTCATCAAAGACATACTGGAGAATTACATTATAAACCTGTGCTTTTTTGTCTGCAGCAAATCCCTATAAACATTACAATTACATAGGTTCACATACACAGAACCAAGTACCCTATACATTATGAGCTACTTAAGGGATTAACAGACATTAAAGACAGGGCAGACAAGCCTTGCTGAGGTGGCTGTGAGAAACAAAAATGATCAAAGGACAACTCTAAGGTTCTAAGGTTCAGGACCTCAACAACTGGAAGACTCCAACTGCTGCTGGCCGAGATGGTGAGAACACGAGTCACACGTCAACAGTCAGACTGACTCTGAAACACCTCTAAGGAAACCCGCCCCTGGTGATTTGGTGACTTAGTGGTGGCAGGACAGAACAGGAGCCTGGAGTTCAGGGACCAGGTCTGGGCCCAAGGGAGCCATCAGAATAGAGGTGGATTCAGAACCCTAAAGCTAAGTGAGAGCATGTGAGAGGGAATCCAGGTGGAGGCCAAGGGCAGGGCACTGCGATACACTACAGCTGGCAGGTCAGGGCAACCAGAGGCAGAAGAGCAAAGTGTGGGACCTGGCAGCCAGGAAGTGAGGACTCCAGGAGAGGGGCCGCACCCCCATGCTACCTCTGGTGCAGGCAGGGTGTCTGTGACCACTGTGCTGGAAGCAGGGCACCACAGTGCAAGTGGAACATGCATCAGGGGAGGCAGGACTCACATGGCCACTCTCCCCATTGCTAAATGAGATTCTGAAACACTCTTGCCAGGCGACTCACCGTCATTCCCAGATCTCAGTGCCCAGAGGCCACCTTTCCCCTTCATCCTGCTCCCTGAACACACAGGTCTAACTACTGGGGCTTATCCGAACACACTGATTGCTTTCTCTCCTGGTGCTCACTGGAACCTGCAGTAAACTTGCTGATGTACATGTCTGTTTCCACTATCAGCCCATGGCATGATCCCTAAGAGCAGGGGACCTCTGTCACGTTCACTGTCACATTCTCATGCTCTCTTGATTCCTTATTCAGTCCACACTACACTTTACACTACGCTCAGCAGTTAAGCTCTTTGTAATAAGATAACACAGGCATTTGTCCACAGCCAATTCTGAGCCTCCAGGTGCTTCACTGCCAGCTTACCTGTTGTCCCCGAATCACCGCCACTCACTTCTCCCCACCTTCAGTGACCAGCAGAGAACTGTACTCTACCTTTACCAAACCCCTCAGCCAACCCGACTCCCAGCGCCCTCCCCTTGTGGACTAATGTCTCTGCATATACAGCAACCTCACTCCCTCCATCACAGGGTCACCTTCTCTCTTCCTCCCCCATTTCTGATCAGCCTGACACCTCAGCCTTCACACAAAACACTTTTAACCTGGAGCTTAGCTCCTTAAGGCTGAATATTTTAGCTTCCTCATCAACTACTGCCTTCAATTCTGACACAACATCTTTGCTGCCCTCCTCCAATGCCCCCCACGAGGGGTCCACCCACTCACACCAAACATGGATCCAAGCCCCAAGGGATTGTGGTACTCGCCCTGGCAGCTGTACTGCTGCCTACTCCCTTCCCTTAGCCTTTGAACACCTCTCTCTTCTAATCTCTTCCTATGGTTCCTGCCCCTCATCCGGGTCCTGTGGATAGTCCCTAACTATCACTGGCTTTAGGAGTGATCGGACTGATTCTGGCAGACTAAGCTCTGAGGCTCTCACCTGGGGTTTTGGGCGTGCTCGACTAAACATTTTCAAAGGACCTCTCACATGGAGCTGAAACGTCATGTCTGTGTCTCTTTCTGCAACGAGGTCATACGCTTCTCAAGGGCATCTCTGTAACTCAAGTGCCTAGCCTCAGGCTCAAACCTGATGGGTATGCATTGCTTTTTGAAGGACACCAACTCTGTGTGTGTCAGTCACCCAGCTGAGCCAGGCAGGGAAGGAGGCTGTGACAAGGACAGGCTGGTCCCTACCTGAGTAGTGGTGCCACTGGGACTCAAGCAGCAGGTCTGGGGGACCGTCAGGGGCCCGTGGAGGGCCACCGTCAGGAAGTGGCAGCAAAGGGGACCGTTCCTGGAGGGACCTGTGACGAGATGCCTGTCAGGACAGGGCAGGGACAAGGGACCCAGAACCTCCAGGGAAAGAGGTTCCCTCGCTCACCCAGGGCTTTCCTCCCCAGAATTATCCAGGTCGAGAACTTCCCGCACTGTGGGTGTTTTCATCCTCACTCGGCTAAACCTGGGATGGAGAAATGAGAAGGTGGAGCCGTCTTCTGCTCACCGCACTTTGCCTGCTTCCCCAGCTCAGCACGCTCACTTACCCACTGCTACCAAGTCCTGGAACATGAGGGCTGTCCTCGGAGGATTCTCCATCTTCATCCAGCCGGAGGGTTTTGCTCGGGGGAGGTGCTGGCAGGGAACGGCCAGAGAAGGTGGATACCCTCTTGACGCGGATGGCCTGGCGGGGTGGGCTGGGAGGCCCACTGCTAAACACCAGTGTCAGAGGAGGGGGAGGAGGGGGAGGGGCAGGGCGGACCACTCCTACCCCTACCACTGGCACCAGCAGGGGTCCTGGGGGCAGAGTCCAGGAGGCAGGAGCTGTGGGGGGAATGGCAGGGGGCAGAGGCTGCTGCTTCACTGGAGGAGAGGCAGGTTCGCCCTCCCCTGCCATCTTCACAAACACTTGCCCCAGCTTGTTAACAAGGATGATCTTGGATGTGGCAGGTTTGGGGGGCTCAGGAGCAGGGCCCAGGCTCAACACCCGGACCCCTGGGGTTCCAGGAAGCCAGGCAAATGTCCTGGAGGGGTCAGCTGGGCTAGAAGGCAGGCCTTGAGGGGGCTGACTGCCATTGGCCAGGGGAGGTGTTGGGGGGAGGGACTCCTCTTTGGGACCAGCACCCCCCTCTCCAGAGCCCCCTAGGTTCTTCAACACAAAATCCACAATTTCTGATGGCAGATCTTCAGGAGGTCGCGACCTGTCCCCTACCCCTCCGAGGACCCCAGCTCGGCCCACTCCTGGCCCTGTGGGTGGAGTCTCCTGCCCCCGAGGCTGCTGGGCGGCCTCAGCCTCACTGTCTGTGCCATCATCCACTCCATCCAGCTGTTCAATGCGGGGAGTGCCAAGTGGGGAGTTGGGAGTCAGGGCAGGGCCGGAAACCACAGTCACAGGAAAGTGGACATAGTGGGTAGTGGGGCTGGCCTCCTCCTCTGAGCTGTCCCCTGGGATCCCATGGCTGCTCCCCACGGTCCCCGCAGCCACAATCTCTTCTTGGAAGGGCTCAGTCCCCAGCAGGCTGGCCGCAAAGTCCAAGTCAGCAGCACTCAGTCCTGACACCACCTCCATGTCCTCAAAGTCTGGGCCCAGGTCTTCCGGGGGTGGTGAAGGGGCGAGGCCAGGGGGAGCCAGCTCCCCTGAGGTAGGTGTGAGGGCTGTTACGACTGAGGTAGGAGGGGGCACCCTGAGCGGAGGGGAGGTTCTGAGGGGCGGGGAGGCCAGCCGTGATGACGGCAGCCTGGGAGCCAGGGGACTGGGCCGACGGGAGCGTCTTGGGGGAGCTGGAAAGTCCGGGTCTCCCACTGTAGGGATGTGGTGGGTCAGAGAAGACGGACTTCCTGCGGGAGAAAGGATCTTGTCAGTGGACAGCTCCAGGCACCCCACCTCCCCTCACCCCTTGACACTCCCAGGACTCACCAGGGGAGGGGAGGGGGCCAAAGGAGACGCCGCCCAGGGGTCTCCGGGACGGCGAGTAGTTGGGCACTTTGATTCGAGCTCCTGAAAAGGAGCGGGGGGCTGGAGGAGGGGCGCTGCCTGAATCAGGCCGCAGCACTGGGTCCAGGTTCTGTACAGGTGAATGGTGCTCAGGCGCTCCAGGGGCAAGGGCATCTGTGTCTGGGGGGCATTCCTCAGGATCTAGGGGCTCTAAAGAAACAAGAAGACACAGATTACAACAGGGACTCTTTGTTCAAGCTTCTCTCACATGCCCTTCCAGGGCCCTGCAGAGGCTTAACTGCCTTGTCACCAGGGACCATACAGGCTCCCACTCCACCGGGGACATCTGCAGTCTCCCACACTCCTGCTTCAGGTCCCTCATGACGTCCCGTCCACCTTTCCCAGCCCCCACTTCCAGGCTGCCTGATTCAGGCCCCACCTGCTATTGAGGACAAGGTCCTCCCTTCAGCACAGCCAGTCCTGCCACTCTCCCCTGGCCCGAGCATCCTTGCCACATCAAAGGCATCCGCCCTACCTTAGTGCTGGAGGTTAGCCATTGCCACGCCCCACCCAGCCATTGCCACGCCCCACCCAGCCTTTGTACACTCATTTCTGCCTCCTCCCACTCTTCTTCCCAGCCAGGGAGCACTCCTCAGCTCTCCACAGCATGCTCTGATGTGAGCACAGACAACCACACTACCTGAGCAGCTTCTGCCCCTGGCTTAGCCCATGTCAACCTTGCCCTTCCCTGTCTCTCCACCCCCATTCTCTGTTCTGTGCCCCCCAGCTCTTGGCTATACCCCAAACTGCCAGCACAGTTTTAAGGATGACAGTTTGGGAACCGAGCAGACCCAGATTTCACGATCTCACTACTGAAGAGAGCAACTACCCCCACTCCTCATTCCTGAGGCCATTACACAGAGCTTGTGCCTTCCTCAGAGGCTTGGGGAGTACTAACGTGAGCAGGTAGCCCAGGCCACAAGCCACGGCTCCCCTTAGGCGCACAGTACTCTGGCCTCCTCACTCCCTGGGAAATGCTGAGCACAGTCCACAGCCGGACACGCACAGGCAGCGAGTTATCTGTGATTGTCATGACAAGAATAGCACTCAGGAAGAAGAGGCGGTCATACCAGAGGAAGGGGTGGGGCTGTGCACAATGGTCTGGTTCTCCTCAGCTGCCTCCAGGTGAGCTGGCTCTTCCCGTGGCCCCCAGGGCCGATACTCCAGAATCCGGCACCGATACCAGCAGCGCCTCCGAGCATCCACCGTGCTCCAATACAGGCGGGAGCACCTGTTCGGGGAACACGCAGAACAAGGGCATTAGGATTTACCTAGGAGACGAGCTCTGGGCCTGGGATCCCTCCACTCCAGCAACCCTCTTGGACTGCTCACTGGTAGCCAATGGGAAAGAGTCGTCCCTCGCAGTCCGAGAGATCAGACAGAGTGCCCAGGGAGTCAATGCGGATGGAGCCTGCAGAACCAAAGACAGGTCAGGAGACACAGGCGAGGCCAGTCAGGAAGACCAGGGTCAGGAGGGAGCAGCTTACCAATGAGCACATTGATGGCATCAGGTTCAAGCCCTGTCAAAAACTTCCTTTTGAAGTTGATGCCCTCAAAGTCCACATAGACTCGGCGGAGAACATCAAAACCATCGGGGGTCACGATTTCCTGGGAGTTAGATGGCAAATAGGATTGCTAGATCCGTGGTGGTGGGAGAGGAGTGCAAGGGAGAGGCTCTACAGGAAAGGACTGATCAGGCAGGGTTCGGCCATAGGGCTCTGGGAAAACATGTAGTAGAGCCAGCAAGGGGCAATAGGGACAGGTCTGAGGACAAGGGGGACCCTCGAGTGGCAGGGAAGACTGTACTCAGGAGTTGCTTTTGCTGTGCTGACCCACCTTGCCATCTAGCAGGTCTGTGTGTTTCTGGCAGAAAACTTTCTTGTCATCCTGAAAGATGCAGTAGCTGGCCCGGGCGCACATGAAATGGAAGTTGCTGAGGCAGGAGGAAAGGCAGCAGCCCACCGTGGCTCCAGGCTTCAAGCAGAGTTCACAACGCTGCAGGCAGCAAGAAGTACTTAGGGGAGAAGCCTGTGATGGGCTCCGTACCACTTAAAATGTTTTGTTCCGTCTAGCCCGGCAAGTAGCACAGCCACAGACTGCACCAGTCACAAGCATTTCCCTCACAGTAGCCGGGGCCAGGAGCAGCAGGATTATAGCAAACACAGAGCAACAGCTAAGCCTGAGTGGCACCACATTGTTCCACACAGTCCTCAACAACCCTGCAGAAGCTATCCTATCCTGTATTGTTTCCCAGCCACCCGGCGGAGGGTACAGGACACTCTTCAACACTGGGCCCAGGGGAATTCTAACCCAACTAAAAACCTCCCCTTATAGGATCCAGTATGAACATGCCCACTGTCAAAATGCCACATTGTCAGGAGGGCAAACAGCATGGGTTCAATCACCAGGTCCCCCAGGCTTTAGGCCCAGATACGGCCAGAGAGTATAAAAGGGAAGAAAATCTGAGGCTGGGCACGACCACAATTGCACCTAGGACCATGACGAGGGCACACATCCGAGTGGAGCAGGGAAGCGGGAGCCCAAGCCTCACCATCTGCCGTCCTCGAGCCACAGCAGCATGCACGTTCTTGAGGGAGCCATCATTCTCCTCGAACACCTCAGCTGACCAAATGGCACAATTGACGTGTGTCCATTCATTCTGCCCAATGTACAGGAGCCGCCCTGCTTCCTGCAGGAAGGAGTGGGTGGGTGGGGTGTGTGTGTGTAAGAACACTCAGAACCACCACCCACCTCTGAGGCTTCACACACACAGTAGCCCTCACCTTGGAGTCTGCATCCCCATACTTGAGGCAGAGCGCACACTGACGGGGGTCATCCATGTGTGAGAAAGTGGTTGGATCCTTGCCCTGAAAAGCTGGGAGGCAGATCTGAGCATCAGGACCTAGAGCCTGGCACCCCACTTCAGGAGCCCTGGCCTGCAGCCCCCCTTCCCAGTACCTGCCGAAGGGTCCCCTGGAGGCTGGCCTGACTCTGGGGTCTCCAGTTCCTGCTGCCTCCACTGAGCGTACACATGGTCCAGGGATGGGGGCAACACCGCATTGGGAAGGACTCCGCTGTGGACAGACGATTAGCATCTGACACTAACAAGGATGGCTGGACTGTGCCCACCACCACACTGGCCTAAGCATGCCATGTCACCCTATATCCTCATCTCTCCCAAATAACTCAGACCTCTTTGACACTAGAAATACTGTTTCTTACAGCTAACTTGATCCACAGTCACATTTCAAGGTCACCTTTTTCAGGAAACCTTCTCAGACCTTGAAGGACCCATAGGTGCTCTCTCTAGGCTTTCCCAAAACCACCCTAACCATCTGGGTCAGTAGTGCTTCCTAGTCCACCTAGGTAGTAGCTCTCCAGGCAGGAACAGAGTCCAGTCTTAGCTGTTCTGTGCTCTTTACCCAATTCGGCCTTGTGCAGAATACTAACAAAGTGAGAGCTAGGGACACAATCCCAGTCTCTGGAACCCATGGGGATTCCCACCTGGGTTCTCTCTGCCTCTACTCCAGTCCATCACTCTGTTCTTCATGCACTCTCAGTCTAGCCTGTCCCCTGGACTCCCAAGAGCCCTTGCTTAGCCTTTGCTCCCCTCCTGCTACCAGCCTTGCTCACTTGGGCAGTCGGGTACTCCGTCGCCAGTACTTGGGGTCATGGGCGTCGAACCACGCGAACGCAGACTCTAGCAGCTGGGAAGAAGGTTAACAGGATAAGAACTGGCTTCCCGAGAAGTACTGATGGGGACGGGTATAGAGGGACTCAGCCTCTTCCTGCCCTACCCCTCCATAGACCTCCCCCAAAGAGTTCACCTTCAATAGGAGTCCCTTCATTTGGCCTCCAGCCCGGCGCTCGGGGGTCTCTCCCTCTTCTGAGTGTCGCATCAGGATGCTCACCATGTCCTCCATGAAGCTGTGCTGTAAGCGGGGTTGTCAAGTTTTGAGTCTGCAGCCCCCTCCTCACCCCCACCTCCAGTCCAGCCCTCTCCTCCTGGCACCCACCTGCTCCTCCCCGTGTCCCACTCACCACGGACTTATAGTGGCCTTCCTCAAAGCGCTGACTCACAGCTTGCAGACTACAGGGTCCCGAGTGTAGCTGTTTGCCATCCTGCCCACACTGCACAGAGGACAGATGTTAGAAGGGGCCATGTGGGACCTGGGCCCACCCAACTCGCCTCTTGGCCCCTCCAGACCTGGGAACACAGCAGCAGCGGGACCGCAACCTTGGAGCTCAGCAGTCCCTGGAGCACCTGACGCAGGCCCCCCTGCAGGGCTCCACTCAGGGCCTCTCTCCAACGGGGCTGTGTGGCCCCTGCACAAGGTCCACAGGTGTACAGCACCGAGTCTGGCAGCCCTGACAGGATCTCATAGTCTTCATCTAGAATGGTATGGCAGAAAGGAGAAAACAGTTTGGGAGTCTGGGAGGGTTCCCATCTGAGGAATTCCCCCGGGGATGATGCCACACCCAAGGGACTCTGTCTACCCACCTGAGAGCCCCTCGCACTTGGCGTGCACCCAGTGGTCACACTGTGCACACTGCATCATCTTGCTTTCATAGTCATTGTCTTCATAGCAGCGTGTGCAAATCGGACAGTAGTTCCCTGAAGGAAAGAGGAAGAGAAGGGCATCAGAGGGGCTGGAGTCACTCTTCACCCATCCAGAATCATAACACCTTGACTGTTGCACGGTCTGCTCCAACAGGCCCCATCAGTGTCCTGCCACTCCCAAAAAGCTGGTTGAGGATGAAGCAACTTGTCCAAAATCTGCAGCCCCAATGCCTCATTTAAAAATAGGACCTTGCTGAACACACTGCCTGAGTAAACGAGGAAAGCATGGGGTTTACAATTGCTCCATGGAGACCAGCAGTGTGGGCTCCTAGGTCCTCTACTCCCATGGCCCTCGGAGAGGTTCTGCATCCCTGCTTTACAGACTGCAGAAACAGTTCTACAGCCGAGAAAAGGAAAGCCACTAGGAGAACACACCTGCTCTACCTGCCTGTCTAGATGCCTGGTCCACGCCCCTGGGGCCCCCCAGGGTGGCATTCCCCTGCTAGGTCCCCACCTTTCTCATAGAGCTGGGTGCACCTGGGGCAGAGGCTGTAATCTCCAGACCACTCGACATCCCAGTTCTTGCCTGGAGTTGCCCCACAGCTCTTACAGCGTACGCAGGCTGAGCAGATCTGGGGGAGCAGGGCAATGTTAGGGAGAAGCCAGACACCTGGCTGGAGCAATATGAAGGGGAAGGTGGGCAAGGAAGAGTGGAGAGCAAGCAAAAAACAGATGCAGGCAAGAAAGAGGAGGAAAACTAGGCAGGAGACGAAAACCAAAGGAAGAACAGCGGGGCAGGAGCCGATATCAGGTGAGAGCAGGGGTCTGAGCCTGGAAACACAGAATCCACTGGTTCCCGAACCCACGACATAGAAATTCTGCATGTAAGTCTTGCCTACATCAAAGTTTTGAAAACGAAATGTTTATCACACTCTCAAAAGGGGTCCCCACCGCTACCCTCCTCCTCCTGAAAGCTGGGTCAAGAGCAAGTCTGTGGTGGTGGCAGCAAAATCACAACACTAAAGCAAAGCTTATGGGCCTCGTCTCTCACCCAGTGGCGCCGTTTGCGCGCAGCCCGAGTTGGGTAGCTGGGTCCTAGGCAAGTTGGGTGATAGGCATGGCGGCAGCGCTCACACTCCAGGAGGTGCTATTAGGTGTTAGAAAAAGGCAGCAATGGCAACATTTGCTGGGAGAGGGATGCTCCCTTCTCCCTACTTTTATTTACCCACTGAGTCCAAACCTTGGATGGCCGGCCTTTGCGTCCACAGACGTGGCAGAATTTACAGCGGCGGCAGCACCAGGAGTCGTGATGCTGGGGCAGGGGCCGTTCGGCTTCCTCCAGGCAGAAGGGGTGGAAAGGGTCACAGCAAACTTGGCAGAACACCAGCTGGGGATGGAGCGGGAGAAGGCACAATGGGTACCAGTGGGCACCAAGCAAGGTCTGAGGCTCAGGCAATGAGGAACGTCGCAAGCCATCAGGCAGGAAGGGCAGGGAGCCTGTCCACTGCTCCCACCTCGTGTAGGCCTTTGCTGGCACACAATAAGCACACCATCGGCGGCCCCCCTGGCACGGAAGTGAGCACACTTAGGCCACCCATCAGCCACACGTTCTCCAGGTCACAGTCTTCCTGCAGAAGGGGGAAGCACAGGCTCAGAGAACAGTCTGAGCACCCACATACATACTCTGACGCAGCAGGTTTTTTTGTAGCCCTGAGGCCCATGGTGCCCACCCTCCCGTGCTGTACCTTGAAATCCACACGGACCCGGTGTACGCCATCAGGGGACTTCTGTTTTCCAGTCCAACCATTAGGAAAAGCAGCAAAGGGGCCAGAGGCCAAACCATCCTAGAGAAGGTCAGTGCGGAAGTCAGAGGCAGGCACTGCTGCCGTCCACTTCCCTATTCACTGCTGTCCCCATGCTGTCAGATTCTGCCTTTGGCTAGTTCCCACCCTGCTTTCTAGACAAGCAGAACTGTCCCATCCCTAGGGCCTGTCCCCTGGTGGGAACAAACCACGACACACAGGTGTGCCTATCACCCTGACTTGCCAGGTAGCTCCTGGAGGGCAGGAGCCACGCCTCACACAAGGTCGGGGTTCTTGGAGCGGGCCGTGCTGACCTTGTCCAGGCGCCTTCGGGCCTTGAGCTGCAATACAGGCTGTAGCGTGGGTTTGCGGGGCCGGCTCTGTTCCTCAGGTTCTGGGACCGGCAGCTCTAGGCAGGACATGGCAGCAGTGAGGCCCCAATCCCCTTCCACGCTCTGTCCCCCAACTCCTTTCATTCTTCAAGTCCCAAGTATCACCTTCCTACTTGCTCTTAGCCAGTGGCATTGGCAGACTGCTAGAGCCCTGCCTCCTCCACACCAGTTTCAGAACTGACTGCCTGACAGAGGCACCAGGGGGTACGCACCATTTTCACGGGGAGTCCGACGCCGGGGAGCAGGAGGACCCCCAGGGTCCGAGTCATCCGAATCCTCGAAGATATCATAGGAAGGCCGCTGTTTGACGCAACGCCGGGCTGACTTGCGCTGCAGGAGGGAGTCCTGCTCCTCGGGCCCTGGGGGGGCCACCACCTCCTCCCGGGGCCCCCCAGCTCCCGCCCCCCGGCGTGGGCCTGGAGGACCAGGGGAGGCCTCAGGAGATTCATCGGAATCCCAGGGCAACAGCGTCTTCACTATCGTCCGGCCTGTGGGAACAGGGGACTTAATAGGATTTGAGCTTAGTCAGACATGGGACACTTGGGCAGAGAAGAGCCAGGAGGAAATGGGGGAAGAGACAAAAGCACATAGTGGAACAGACAGAGGTGAACAACTGCAAAGATAAGGGGGAGAACCAAGAAAACACCATTTCCTCCATCCACACACCTACAGAAAGCTTTAGGAAGATTGCACCTCAAACTTCATTACCTTTTTTAGCCAGCCGCTCCATCTTCCGAGCCTCTATCTTGTCACACTTCCGGTATCTGGGGAGGGGAGCAGCACGTCACCAGGGTAAGGGACTGGTGGTCTGGGGGAAGAGAGGAAGCTCTCTACAAGGATGCCAACCCCGAGCTCTGACTGGGCAGCAGAGGGCCAGGGCAGGAGGCCTGCACAGAGGACCACGGGTGTAAACAGAGGCTATCAGAGGCTGTTACTCACACACAGCACTGCTTCTTGGTGTTGGGGCCCCCGAACTTGGGCTTGTCCAGGCAATTGACGCAGGACCCACAGTCCTGCACACGCAGGCAGCCCCGACAGTGACCACAGCGAGCCATCCGCATCTTCTTGCCATGGTGGGAGGGCAGAGTGCGCCGGGGTGTAGGGGTCAGCGGCCCTCCAGACCCGGTGGGTTCCAGCTCTCCTCCAGGCTCCACTGGTTCCACTTTTTCCTGCTGAGACCGTGATGGCACACTCTCTGTCTCAGATGCTGATGACGTATCTGGCAGCAGAGAGAAGAGGATGGAACTGCAGAATTGCAAGGATTTTACCTCGTTCCTCTACTCTCCCTTAGACCTCATCCAACTGACCCACTGGCCCGTTTTCCCAGATGGGTAAGTTCCAGGTATTCCTAAACCAACTGTTCTGGCTAAGACTTTGCACTCCAGCCCACCTGCCCCGAACCTACGCAGTCAACTAGGCTCCCTCTCCCCTAGGCTATCGACTCACCCCCAAACCCGACATTGCTATGTAATCTCCCCACAAGAGCATCCCCTACCCTCTGTGGTAAGGTCCTGCCGATCCCGGAGAGGGAGGGCACTGAGGCGGGGGACATCCTCAGGCACCATGGCCCGGGCCTGACCCAGGGCCACCGCGGCATGACGGCAGACGTGTTTGATGCGAGGGCCTTGCACAGGGGACTCTGGGCCCTGGGAGAGGAGAAAGCAGGGGGACATTATGGGGCTGCTCCTTGGGCTCCTGAAGCCAGGCCCCTCCTTCAGAGGGCCTTCCGCCCACAGCCTACCGAGGGTCTCTCTCTCTTAGTTTCCACCGATTCGTCTTCAGACCGCACAGAGCCTCTGTCTGCGATCTGCTTGACTGTCCCCATGAGTTCCTCCATCTGCCCCCCAGGGCTCGGCTGGAAGAAGAAACAGGCTCAGGGGCTAGAAGGTGAGGGAAGACAGGGAAAGATGGGCGCAGGGAGGAAGCACTGGCACCAAGGGGTGTTCCCTGCAAGGCCAAAGTATATCTAGGGAAACAAAAAGCTCAAGGGTAGCAGAGAATTAAGGCTGGGTGGCTGCGTGGTAGCCGCATGGCCAAGCCCCATGCTCACCGGCGTTGAGGTTGCCACCTTCTGCTGCTGTTGCTGTTGGTCAATCTTGAACAGCTGCACCTTGGCCCTCTTCAGGAGACTAAACATTTTCTCCTCTACTCCAGACAGCGGCAACGGGGCCAGGCTCCCCATGCGGGCTTTCTCCAGTGGTGGGGTCTGCTGTGGTGAAGGTGGTGGCTGCAGCTGTATTTGTGGCTGCAGTTGTGGCTGCTGTGGTGGTAGTGCCTGGGGCACTAGCTGGGTTTGCAAAGCCAGAAGGGGCTGCTGCAGCTGAGCCTGTGGCTGTGGCTGCAGCTGTGGCCCACTGCTCAGAGCCAAAGTCCCTTGAAGGGGCACCTCGCCCTTTACAGGAGTGCTGGCCACAGGGGCAAAGCGGGGCAGGCTGAGGTGGTTGGTGCGGCCCACTGCCCGGGGCTCAGGCTCAGCTGGAGAGTCGTCGGCAGGAGGCGGCTCTGGCTCAGGGGCTTCGGGTGCCCCAGGAGGAGTAGTAAGCACCGACTCATAAATTTTCAGGTGGGCTTCACTTGGGGTAAACTGAGGTGCCCGAAGGAGCAGGGGCCTCCGGGAGGGGGTGAGGGTGGGAGTGGAAGTAGGTAGGGGTAGGGGTGGGCTTGGGACTAGGGCTGGGGTTGGGGCTGGGGCTGGAGCAGGGGCTGGGGCCAGGGCTGGGGCTGAGGCGGGGGCGGGAGCTGGGGCTAGGGTGGGAGCGGGGGTGGGGGCAGGGGTTAGGGTGGGGATGGGGGCTGGTGTGGGGGCAGGGGTTGGGGCTGGTGTGGGGGTGGGGGTTGGGGTGGGGTTGGGGGTGGGGGCAGGGGCTGGGGTTAGGGTGGGGGCAGGGGCTGGGGCTAGGGTGGGGGCAAGGGTTGGGGTTGGTGGAGGGGCAGGGGGAGGTGGGGGAAGCTCTCGCGTCAGGGAGATCCAACGAAATGTGGGTTCTCTTAGGATGGACCGTCTCTTTTCGGGGAGTGGGATAGGGGTAGATGGGGGAGTTGGAGCACGTGGCGGAGAGGGGGCTGGGGCTGGTTCCGGGGGAACAAGAGGGGAAGTGGCAATGGGAGGCCGCAAAACAGGGGAGTTATCCACTTTCGGGGGCTTGGGTGGGTCTTCATCCATAAATCGCCGAGGTGTCTTGATGACCCGGGAGGAGCGGGCACTCACCACAGGCATAATAAACTGCCGGATATTCTTCAGGAAGGTGGTACTTTTGGGGGCCACAGTAGGACTATCTTCTGGAGGGCTTCCTGCGATGGCGCTGGGGGTTGGAGCAGGAGATGTGCCCTCTGGTCCTGCCCGGGCAGCCTCCCGCTCTGCCCGCTGGCTGGGAGTCAGGGGAGGCCGGCCCCTCTTCCTGGAGCATGCAGCAGGGACCACGGGAGCAGGGGGTTCTTCCTGCTCTTCTGGGGCAGGGGCTGGCAGAGGGGATGGCAGGAGTGGGGGTGACACCGGGGGTGGTGGGGCACAAAGGGGGGCTGGAGATGCTGCAGGGGGTGGAAAGGGTGGAGAAGGAGGAGGAGCTGGCGGAGTCAGGGGTGGCAACGGCAGCTCGCCCTCTTCCTTAGCTAGCATCACCTCTTCCTCTGCTACAGCTCTCTCTTCCTTCTCTTCTCCCTCCTCCTTGACGTTTTCTTCTTTCACCTCTTCTCCCTCCTCCAGCTTCTGCTCCTGATTCTTGCAGCAAGAGCCCCTTTTCTGTCCAGATCCAACTCCTCGGGGGGCATCCTGCCAGCTTCCCCCATGTTGACCTTGACCCTGACCTGATTCAACTCCCAAAGACAGCTGTCCCATCTTCACTCTTTTGGCCTTTGAAACAAACTTGATCACCAGGGGGAGCCCGCCTCGGCCTCGCCCCCTGCCTCCGCGGCCTCCTCGCCCAGACTGTCCTCCACGCTTGGGGGTCCCAGGTCCTGGGCCAGGCCCCTCCTTGCACTTCCAAGTGCCAGTTCGATGTTTTATTGGAACCACAGGAGGTGCGGGTTCAGACTTGGGGATTGTCACAGCCGCTTCTGCCACCACTACGGCTTGGTGCTTCTTCCTGCAGGGACCAGCAGGCCGTCCTGGGGGCCGTCCCCGAGACCGACGGGGCGTGGCGGGCTCACAGGCCTGGCTCCGGGGGGGTGGGGGTGCCTGGGCCCGCCGGAGAAGTTCAGTCAGTGCCTGCACCATCCGTTCTGTGCCCTCCTCACCCCGTTTTCGGGCAGGAGTCTTAGGGGGGTTAGGAGTCACATCCGCTAGGCGAAGAGCAGGAAGGGGAGCTGTCTTATGCTTGCGGCCCCGACCTCGAGGGGCTCGACCTAAAAGAACAGGTGTGGGGAGAGAAGGGTCAAGCTGGTCAGGCGCATGGGGGCAGGGACGGAGCCTGTCTGCTCTCCACAGCCCAGCCTAGCCTCTGAACTCAGAAAACGCTCTGGAACTGAGGGAGGCTGGGCGGCCAGGGAAGAGCGCCCGCCCAGGCAGGGATGAACATTTCTGCACAGCTCCAGAGCAAGAGTTCCCAGCACTCACCTCGCTGCGATCGGAGCGCAGAGCGCAGCGAACCTGGGGCCACATCTTCATCTGAATGAAAACCCTCAAACTCCTAATTCGGGGGGGGGGGGCAGGGGGGAAGGGGAGAAACAGCCATCAGCGCCCAAACACTTGTTCCACCTGGGTGGTCAGGGAGCATCCCCAGCTATCCCAGCCTATTTACAAAAGAATGAAGACGCCTGGAAAAATCACCAGAGGGTGGAACGCACAGATTCACCGTAGACGGAGGGCCAGGGCATTTGCTACAGCACCCCCTCCTCCCTGCCCCCACGCCCCCACACCAAAGCACCCCGGCACAGTCACTGCTGATTCTCCCAGACAATACATCGGGGTGTCCTCAGGCCAGGCAGCAGGCCGCCAACCCTGGGCCGGCTCCCAGTCAGAGTGGGACCTCCATTTACACCCTCGTAGGCCATGACTTCTTTCTGAATGAAGACTGGGATAAGGGCACCCGAGTGTGTGTGGAGGGGCAGGCGGCTACCAGCTGCTCTCTCATGGGGACTCATGTCTTCCAGCCTCGACTAGAAGCTGGGGGAGGGGGTGATAAACCCACAGGTGACCCGGTAGGACCCGCTCCAGAACGCCTGGCCCCAACCTTCCCCTCCCTCCCTCTCCCTCTCTCTCTCTTTCTCTCTCCAACCAGAGCCACAAGAGGAAATCTTCCAGCAGTCCACCTCACTGCACGAGAAGTGAGGACATGCCGGCACCGGGGCCACGAGCAGAGGCATCTGCAGCTCCGAGCCGGGGACCCAGCTCAAGCCCGGGTGCCTCTAAAGGCACGCCACTGCTGTCAAGCGCCATGCGCCGGGCGTGCACTCTGCACTGCCTCAACCTCCACTGCCCCAGTTTTCCAGGCAACCGTGCAAGATCAGCCCCGGACACTCCCGCAGCACCGGCCTCGGGCCCAAGTGCCAGCCGCAGTTATTCTCAGTCCACGTCCAGGCCCATGCCGCCGAAAAGCTCCATGCAACCTAGCTGTTTCCACGACCCCGTCTCTGCAGGGCCCCTGAGGACCCCACTGGGCCACGCCACCCGCTAGGGCCACCCGCGACCCCCTGCAAACCACTGGCCTCCGCCCCGCCGGGCGCCGGGGACGCCTCCGACCGCCTCACCTCATCGTCGGATTCCCCGTCACTGCTCTCCTCCTCCGGCACGCAGCCCCGGCTCTGGCCCCAGCCCCGGCCCCGGCCCCGGCCCCGGCCTCGCTGAAGGCGCGGGCCGGCCCACAGGCGGCGGAGCCGGCGCAGGCCCCGGCGGAGCCCCAGCAAACGGAGCAGGGCCGTGTCCTCCCCGGGCTCGGCTCCGCCCGGCCCCGCCGCGCCGCCGCCGCGCCGCAGAGGTACCCGCACTCTTTCGGCCCCGCTGCCCCGTCCGCCGCGCCCCCCTCCCCCGCCGCAGCCCCGCGGCCGGCCGGGGAAGCGGCCCCGCGCGGAGCCAGGCCCGGGGCAACTGCCGCCGCCCGCCGCCGCCGCCATCTTGGCACCGTGAGAGGGGCCGGGGAGGCGGGGGGAGGGGCGGCCCGTGCGCAGGGCCGGGGGGAGGGGCGGGAGAGAGGAGGGCCGGGGCGGGGCGGCCGCGGTCACGACAACAGCCCGCGCCGCCGCAGCCGCGGGGTCGGCGGGAACCGGGGGCCGGGCCGCCACGCGCGGGGCACCACGGGAGCGGGAGTCCGAGCCCCGTCGGCCGCCACCCTCAGACCCGCGCCTCCAGAGCAACAGACCTGGCGCAGCGGCCGGAGGCGGGGGAGGCGCAGAGGCCTCCGGGAAGTGTAGTTCGGCCGCCTCGCTCCTTCCGCGGGGAGCTAGGGCCCCGGAGAGCTGGGATTAGGGAGATTCTCGGCCACGGACCCGGAAAGACCGGTCCCTCGTCCTCCGGGAGGTGTGGTTCTCGCCCCAGACTCCTCCCATTGTTCTCGTCGCGGCCGGCGGCACGCCTGGACTACCTTTCCCTGGGTGCAGCGGGCTCCGGACCCTGGGAACCCGGAAGACCCTGGGAAATGCAGTCCGCCGCCGAGGCGTGGACGGACGAATGGGGGAGGGGGCGTGTGGATGCTTCGCCCCTGTTCTTGGTTGCACACGGCGGCTCTTCCGCACGGCGCGGAGAAGATGCCAGCGTTGTGTTGGGACCGACCCTTGTGCGCAGGGAGAGGAGCGGGACTTTGCCGTTATCAGGGCCGGAGCAGTGCGTTCCTCTCCGGCTCCAGGACGAGTGTGGTGGATTGGCATGGAATGGGCCAATGACTTGGGGGTCTCACAACCCCCACGCTCAGTCCCAGGGCTTGCACCGAAATTCAACGGGACACTAAGTCCCCGGGGGCTGATTGCCTCTGAGGGAAGGTGGCGAGCCCCGGGAGATGGAGGAAGTGTCTGCTCCACTGGAAGGCACTCGCGTGGCCACCAGGGGCCGCTACAGGACCAGACGCACACACTGAAAAAGTCGGGACTTGGCTTACTCGCCCAGAGCGGAAAAGCACAGGAAATTCTTTTATTATGGTGATGCAATCGACAACCCCCCTCCCCTTGCGGTTCGTCTGCGCGCTTGCACACTGGAATCACCGCCACTCCACAGGGGTTCGCTGGCGCGGTGGTAGGCGGGCCGAGGGCCCCAGGGCAGCAGAATCGCCTGGAAGCAGAGGTTGTGGTTTCCGGATCACTAGCGGAGCCTTCCCATCTCTCATTCTTTAGTTGCATTCCTGGCCAAGGCTAAAGGAAACTTGAAAGACAAGTACACACCCCATCAGAGACAGGTGGAAGACGGACTCCCGGGAGAGGTCGAGGCCCGGGGCGGTCTCGGGGAGGAAGAGTAGAGGAAAGTGGAGCGGATGGTCCATCCGGGCGGCAGCTGGCTGGGCGAGTGGCTGCGCATGTGCGCCTGCATGGAGGCCAGGCTGGAGCAGCCGACTCCGCACAGAGGGCAGCGGTAGGGCGCAGCCCCGTGCGTCCGCAGGTGCTTGGCCATGGCCGAGAAGTCTCTGGAGCGCTGAGGACAGAGGCCACAGGAGAAGGGCTTCTCTCCTAAGGGCAGGCGCAGAAGGAAACGGGTGATGGGAGGAAGTCGGACCGGAGCCGGTGCAAACCCAGGGTGGAGGATGAGTCGGCAGGGTAATTGCGGGAGGCGGGCAGTTCCCACCGGGCAGGGCGCCCCTACCTGTGTGGACTCTGTGGTGCGTCTCCATCTGGTGCTTGAGTGAAAACCTCTTGCCACAGACAGGACAAGAATAGGGCCGAGACCTCGCGGGAGGGGGCCGGGGAGGGTGTTGGCCAAGTGGATGACCTGTAGTGCCCTCCCGATCCAGACAGGTTGTGGGCGAACCTGAGAGGACAGACAGTCAAAACCGGGCTGGGCCAGGACTCCCACAGCCAGGAGCCCCGCCGAAAGGCGGACGAGGCTACAGCTCAGCTTACTCACCTGGGTGACCCTGCTGGGACTCTGGCGTCTCCCCTGGACGCAGCTGTGCTGGACCCTGGGGCAGGGAACCTGAAAGGAGGGAGGGAGGCATGGGGGAGGGGGTTGCTGCTCTGGCCGGGCTCCTGGAGCCCCAGCTCCAGCCCCGCGGGGGGGACCTGCAGGACCACCAGGAAGGGCTTACCCGGGGTAGGGCTGGAAGAGGCCAACTGGTTCTGACTCCAGAGCCCTTTGGGGGCGTTCAGGGACAGTGGACACCTAGGAGGGACAGGGAAGAGGTCGCAGCCTGGATGTAAGCCCTGACCTTCTCCCCAGTCCTCCTCATGGGCTGGGTTTTGGCTTTTCCCTGCAGATGGGAGCTTCTGGTCCCCCAACCTCAGCTCTGTAGAGGGCTATCCCGGCTTCCTCTCCTGGGACCCTGCCTCCCTCTCTGGAAGTCCTTCCCTTTGGCCTACCACTCACCTCTGGTGCAGAGGCCAGACCTTCTGCCAGGTTCCCGTGCTTGGGGTGCTATGGGAAAAAGGAGTGCCATATCTGGGCGGCCACAACAGCATGTTCCATAGGGCGGGCTGGCCCTCCCTCAGCCATGGGGCCTCAGCCCAGCGGGGCCCGGGGAGGTCAAAGGCCCAGAGAGAACCTGGCGGGGGAAGGGGGCCGGGGAACTCCCGCAGACTTTCTTCAGAGCCCTTAGAGCTCTCCTTCACCTGCAGCACTGCTGCTTGCTTCCCATCTGCTCCCCCATGGCCAAGAAGGGATCGGCTGCGGCTCTCCTCCTTTGCTCCCGTGGGCTGCCACTGACCTTGACCTTCATGCTTTGCCTCTGGCATCTCAGGGCTGTCTCTTGGTAACTTGTGCTGGTGCGGCATCTCCGGTTCTCGCCCAACACTTGTACAAGTCCCGGCTCTCTGAGCCTCTTTTCCTCTCTTGGGGTCCCCTGTGGGCTGCTCTGGTTCCTCCTCATGGTTCTTTAGCCCGTGATCCAGCTCTTCAGCTCTCTCCCTTTGCGCCTGCTGGCATGCCTCTTCCAGGGCCTGTACCCCCAGCAGCTTGGCTGCCTCCTCTAGAGGCCCCAGCTCCCTGCACTGGAGCTCCACATTCTCCCCATACACGAAGCTTAGAAGCTGGGCAAAGGTGGAAGAGCTGATGCCTTCTGCCAGGGTCCACTGGCCCCTCCGGCCCAGCTGCTGGCTCACCCCTGCCAGCACCAGGCTGTGGGCAGGGAATTCCTGGTCGCCTACTGTGATCAGGGTGTCACAGAGTGCTGGCCGTAGCCTGGCTGCAAGCCGTACCAGTCGGTCAGAACCATAGGGGCTAACCAGTTTGGACGGTGGCAGGGACATTGTACCTTGCCTGGGTACCAGTGTCAGAGGCTCTGAGAGTTAGGCCAGAGCGAGGAGTCCACAAGAGGGTGGGAAAGGAGGAACAGCATGTTCTCGGGCCTGTGAAGATGAGGGAGGAAAGAATGAGTCGCTAGCTCCTGGTCGTGTATCACAGCTCTGTCCTGAATGGAGCAAAATAAAAGACGATGTGAGTTTATCAAAAATCAACAGGAACCAGGGGTGGAGATAGAATGGCGGAAAAGTGGAGATCACATCAAATTCAGGACTTAAAAAAAAAGAACAAGAGCCAGGCCATTAATACAAAGATGAAACAATGTGTTTAAAACAAGCATGAAGTGGAGCCTGCCAGTTGGCAAGCTCTGATTTAAAGGATAGCAGGTAATACCATTCAAACTTCTACTTCCTCCGGGAGTTCCAGGGCGGGGCAAGATTCCCAAGCCAGACAACCAAGCTATCCTTCCAAAAGGGATTACCGCAAAAGTCAGTCAACAAGGAGGGAGCGAGACATTGCTTCATAGGGGAGCTTAGCAAGCCAGTCCTTCCACCTGCCCAGCATGCCTGATGGGCCAGCACGGCTCACAGCTGCAGGAAAGCAGGCTCACTCCAAGGCCTTGATCCGTCTCCCTGACACTGAAGCCCCTAAAACACACCTCACAGAAGGAACCAGAAGAGACCAGACTCCCGTCCACTGGGTGAAGAGAATGGGCACAGCTGGCATCTGAGAGAAGACTGCTGACTTAGTTGAGGATGACAAGAAGCTTTAGAGAAAGCATTGACACACACACCCAAGGAATTAGGAGAAAAGGAAATGGAAACTAGAGTGGGACAGGCAGTTTCAGCTCAAGCTTAGAATAAGCAGATGGCTTAATTTTGTTTTTTTCATTAGCCAGAAACTAAAGACAACCCAACCAGACAGGAGCTCATCACACATCAAAATGACCACAGTGGCTTTTAACAAGAGAACTGGAAACTCAAATACAAAAAGTAACAGTGTCTTAGCTCCCAGCAGGCCCAGATGCTGCGGAAGGGACACCTCGGGGAGGGGGCTGCAGGTGGGCAGGGAGCAGAAAGAAAGGGGAGGAATGGGAGGGAAGCCTTGGGGGGGGGGCGCACAGCAGCCACTCACCGGGTATAGGAACCTCCTGGACACCGCATGCTCTGAAGTGCTGGGGCTCCTGCAGGGTCCCCCTCCCACCTCGGAGCTAGTCCCGCCCCCCCTGAGCTCACAGTCCTCCATTGGATGTTCCAAATATCAGTCTGCCACAGTCCCCCCACACACACACCCGCCCCATGGGGTGTGGTTTTATACTCCTGGTTCTAGGCCTGCAGAAGAAAAGGCAGCCCCTCTCCTTCCAGGCCCCAGCCATTCTGCCTGCTAACCTGCTGTCCCCTGACTTCAACTGTGAATTCTTTGGTGTTACAGAAATGTATGTGTGGCCCGAAGAACTTGGGCATAATCCCAACTGCATATGCCTGTCATGACGCACTTGACTCCTTGAGTTACCTTGGGCAAGTCATCCCACTGGGCCTCAGTCACCTCGTGTAGAGGGAGTGGGGGAGATGAAAGGGCCATGATGAAATGAATTTCAAGGTGCTTCATAAGTACACAGCCACATTTGAAGGGCAGTTCTGTTGCCTCAAGGTGACAGCGTCACCTTAATGGAGGGGCACGGAGGAAGCTAGTACCATCACCTCAAAAGGAGAAGAGATCGGAACATTGAGAATCCAAGGAGGGGACGAACGGGAAAGCCAAAAGCACGTGTGTCTTCCTTCTCCCTAGCTTGATGCTGACAAGTGTCACTCGTTCTGTAGGGTGACCCTGTCATCTGGGCCACCGCTGGGGACAGCATGTGCGAAGTGACTCAGATCCTTCCGTCAAACTCCAGGGGGCAACCCCAGGAAGGGCTTGCGGTGGTCTTCAGAGAGAAAGCTTCATTTTTCCTGGGCCTGTGACAAATGACTTTTCTCTGAAATTAAGAGTCAGGAGTTCCTTTCATTTCCTGACAAAGGGGTCAAGGTCCCCAGAGATTTCCCCCACTTTTCACACTTTAGCACTCTGTCACCTGAGGAAGGAATGAGACCTGAGAGATTCAAATTTGTCTTGTCTCCTGTGATCCCACCATCCCCTGAACCTGCAGAAGAGTTTTCCTTCACTGGACAAACACTGTTAAAGTATGCCATGACATCATGCCTCGCAGTAGGCAGTTGGAGGCATCAAGAGGCGGCCTCTGGTGACAACGACAGTTTGGTTTCTCACAGTTCTTCCCTAGTTCTTGCTCCTCTCCTGCATCTGTACCATCTGTAAGCCTCCATTTTTCCCTCTGGCCGCAGGAGCCTGAGGTCTTCAGACTAGCCTCCTCTCTCCTTTCAGACCCGAGGTGCTTTTCCCCTCATCTAACTTGGGCACAAGCAGGTGCTAATCCTTCCTAGATCGGTCAGAGTGTGCTGGTGGGTGAGGCTGGTAGGGGGCAACAGAGTGGGGAGAGGGGAAGGTGAGTCAGAGTGAAAGGGAAAATGCAAATGGGCAAGCTGTATTCATTTGCTACTCTGAATGTTAAATTTTTCCATTTCTGAGCATTGTAACTCCTCACAGCGCCACACCCAGTGATAGAGCAGACACCTGTATGAACTATGTAAGCCATCAATCCCGCTAACATGGAGATGCACAAAGGAAAACGTCTTTGCTCCAATGTAGATGGACACAAACCCCGAAGATGAGTAGTGAGTCGGAGAAAGCCAGGGAGGAGAAGCAGCGAGGAAAGGAAAGGTACAGGGATCTGAAGATTACATCACCCGGCGGCGTGCAGCCACTGTCACCTCCCGGCCCTGCACATCATGTGTGTGTGACTCAGCTTCCCCACTGCTGTGTGGTTTGTCTATTGATGATCAAGAGAGTGGGAGACTTGTTCAAAGTGCAGGATCCTCTCACAGCAAAACGTAGTGGGTGGAGTGCCCGTGGGCTTTCGGGGAACCCTAAAAGGGAGGGGAGAAAGGGCAAGGGAACTCCCCATTCAGTGAGCGAAAGCCCCCACGGATGGGAAACCCCAGCTTGCCTCCCACTTGGTGTCTACCCGACCAGAGGCTATCCCCTTAGAAACCGCCTCCTTAGAGGGCCCCCTGTGCTTCAGCCTGCCTGCTGGTGACACACCATAGTCCCCTTCTGTAGCCTCCCCCTGCATGTTTGGCAGTGCAGCCCAAGGCAGCCTGCGCAGAGGAAGCAGACACTCGGCTGTGGAAGGGGAGGGACCCTGCTGACGGCGGCTGTTCTTGAAAGGTCACCCCGCCCTGGTCTCAGACACCTGGACCACTTTCTGCTTCCTGGGCTTTCTTGGTGGAAGAATCATTTTCAAGAGCTGTCCACCGGGGATAGAAAGCACAGGTTAGAACACACTCCTGTCTCTAACACAGCCATAGAGTGGGCAGGGGACACCAAGCAGCACGTGACTACAGGAGGCGTGTCCTTGTGGGGAAAGGAGGCTGTGACTGCTACCTGTCACTGCTCTAACGCTCACATTCCTGAGGAAGATGTTTGAAATCCTGTATCTCTTTTTTTTTTAAGGTTTTTTTTTTTTTGTGGGGGGGGGGCGAGCAGTCAGATATACAGAGAGGAGGAGAGACAGAGAGGAAGATCTTGCATCCATTGATGCACTCCCCAGGTGACTGCAATGGCCGGAGCAAAGCCAGTCCAGAGCCTCTTCCAGATCTCCCACGCGGGTGCAGGGTCCCAAGGCTTTGGGCTGTCCTCCACTGCTTTCCCAGGCCACAGGCAGGGAGCTGGATGGGAAGTGGAGCTGCCGGGATTAGAACCGGCGCCCATGTGGGAACCTGGCGCATTCAAGGCAATGACTTTAGCCACTAGGCCTCCGCGCTGGGCCCAAAGATGTATTCATTTTTATTGGAAGGTAGATTTTACGAAGAGATGAGAAGTCTTCCAGTTATTGGTTCACTCTCCAAATGGCTGCGCCATCCCAAGCTGAAGCAATTCAAAGCCAGGCACTTCTGGGCTTCCCATGTGGGTGCAGGTGCCCAACGACGTGAGCCATCCTGTGTTGTTTTCCTAGGCCATAAGCAGGGGGTTGGATCAGAAGTGGTGCAGCCAAGACATGAACCAGAACCCACATGGGATGCCAGTGCTGCCCAGCCCCGCACTCCAACCTTCAATTCTAGCTCTCTGCTAATGCAAACCCTGGGAGTAAGGAGGTGATGGGTCAAGTTACTTGGGTCTCTGTCACTTAAATGGGACTCTCAGATGGAGTCCCCCAGCTCCTGAATTTGCCTAACCTAGCTCTTGACTTGCAGGCTTTGGGGGAGGGGAGGAATCAGTAAACGGAAAACCTGTCTGCCTTCGAAATATTAAATGGTTGTGAGTAAAGACATCCTAGGGGATTTTCTAAACAGTAGAATATCTCAAACACTTCTTACAGTGTCCCAGTAAGCTGTTCATCTTCCAGTGCACCTGTCCCACGCTTAGAGCCTGACAGCTGCTGGGAACGACCTCCTAGATTAGAACTGGCGCCCAGGACCCAGTGTGGTGGCCTAGTGGCTAAAGTCCTCGCCTTGAACATTCCAAAATCCTATATGGGCACCAGTTTTAATCCCAGCAGCCCTGCTTCCCATCAAGCTTCCTGCTTGTGGCCTAAGAAAGCATTTGAGGACGGCCCAAAGCCTTGGGACCCTGCCCTGCATGGGAGATCTGGAAAGAAGTTCCTGGCTCCTGGCTTTAGATCGGCGCTGCACTGGCTGTTGTGGCTATTTTAGAAGTGAATCATCGGATGGAAGATCTTCCTTTCTGTCTCTCCTCCTCTCTGTATATCTGACTTTCCAATAAATAAATAAATCTTAAAAAAAAAAAGAGTTATTTTATTTTTTATTGCAAAGTGAGATATACAGAGAGAAGGAGAGACAGAGAGGAAGATCTTCCATCCGATGATTCACTCTCCAAGTGAGCGCAACGGCCGATGCTATGCCAGTCCGAAGCCAGGAGGCAGGAACTTCTTCTGGGTCTCCCACGCGGGTGCAGGGTCCCAAAGCTTTGCGCCGTCCTCGACTGCTTTCCTAGGCCACAAGCAGGAAGCTGGAGGGGAAGTGGAGCTGCCAGGATTAGAACTGGCACCCATATGGAATTCTGGTGCATCCAAGGCGAGGACTTTAGCCACTAGGCCACAGCACCGGGCCCAAAAATAAAATAAATCTTAAAAAAAACAAACCAAAAAAACCCCAA